CTTAATGATATTTTAGTCAATGACAGACTGCATATGCGACGTTAGTCCCATAAAACTATAATACTGTACTTTTACTGTCCCTTTTCTATGTTTAGATGTGTTTAGATACACAAATACTGCTGTGTTACAACTGTCTACAGTATTTAGTTCAGTAACATATTATACAGGTTTGTGACCTGGGAGCAACAGGCTGTAGCACGTAGCCTAGGTGTGTAATAGGCCACACCTTCTAGGTCTGTGTCAGTATACTATGGTGTGCACACAATGACGTGTCACCCAAGAAGGCATTTCTCAGAACACATCCCTGTTGTTAAGCAATGCATGACTGTATTAGAATCACAGGATGATGAATGTTCTCCGTGGCCCCTCCAGATCCTCTCTTCACCCTCTCCATCATGCTCAGTGTCCAAGAGGCTAACTTCAATAGACTGTTCAAATGGCCTCCCTTCTCTCTAACTTCCACTCAAGGTCAGCCAGTGGAACCACCAAGAGGAGTCTGAGGAGTGGGAGGAAACAGGGGAGGGAGTGTTGATTTCTTGGTCCCCTTCCTGCTTTCCCAGGCTGCTTTGCTCATGGAGGCCACAGCTCCTGTCAGGTAGCCCACTCCTGAAGCTACAGCCACATCTCTTCCCAAGTTTTAGATTCTGGGAAACCAGTTTTTCCCTTTGTCCTTTCAGGCCTAGGGATGAGAAGGCTCCCTGATATTTATAGTTCTCATGGGTTTCTCTTAATCCCTGTATCTGTGTGTGGTCCTTCACTATCTCCTCAGTTGCGTCATTAAGTGTGCCATTTGTGTACTGCCAGGATCCTGACTTACATACATACACACTATTACAAAACCCAATTCAAACTGGCCTAAATCATAAGTGGAATTTATTGAATGATGTAACCAAAAAATACAGACATCTGATTTCAGGCCTCCCAAGGATCTAATCATCTTCCAAAGGTCCCACCTTTGAATACCATCCACTTGGGGGTTAAGTTTCAACTTTTGAATTTTGAAGGGACAAATATATTTAAATCATAACGTGTCTTAGTCAATTTTTAAAATTAAAAATAAGTTTTTTAATTCTTTTTTTTTTTTTTTGAAACAGAGTCTCACTCTGTCACCCAGGTTGGAGTGCAGTGGCGCAATCTCGGCTCACTGCAAGCTCCACCTCCCAGGTTCATGCCATTCTCCTGCCTCAGCCTCCTGAGTAGCTAGGGCTACAGGTGCCCGCCACCACGCTCGGCTAATTTTTTGTATTTTTTGTAGAGATGGAGTTTCACCATGTTAGCCAGGATGGTCTTGATCTCCTGACCTGGTGATTCGCCCGCCTCGGCCTCCCAAAGTGCTGGGATTACAGGTGTGAGCCACCGTGCCCGGCCAAGTTTTTTAAATTCTAAAAGCAATGAAAGTTCATTATACAGAATGTAGACATTTAAGATTAACTAAAAAAAAAAAAAGGAGATGGGAAAGTGTAGCCTTTAATTCCACTGTGGTTAATATTTTGGTGTATATCCAACGCTCGCTCATTCCTCTCTCACCCCCTCTGGGATCTTATTGTAAATATTCTTTTAAGTATCTTTGCACCTCAGAACCTAACACAGGTTTTACATGCATGAGTAAATGATATTCAGGAAAAAGATGAATGCTTGAATGTCCAAAACAGCTCTTTTGTCACATGCTACTAGAGATAATACAGCAACTGCTACACCATTCTGTTCCCATGTGCCTGCCAAAGGAACACCATGTCAAGGACTTATCTGAATCATCAAGAAACCATAATACTGTACTAAGTTCAAGGGAACACTCCTTAAAAGGAGAGGGACTTTACAAGCCCATTGGCAGGGCTTCAGAAGTGAAGGAGCCCTTCACTAGGAGCTAGAAAAATCTAGATTTAAATTCCAACTGGGTCATTCTACTCATTTTACTTGTCTAATCCTCCATTTTCTAATATCTGAAATGAAGACATCAACTTATGATCTATAAGATCCCTAGCAGTTAATAGTCTATGACATATATCTCTATCTATCCAAACACAAACATATGTGTGTGCGTGTATGTGTATGTGTGTGTATGTGGTGTATGTGTGTGTAGTAATGAAAAGAGGCAAGAACTATGCCTCAGGTGCTAGTATAACAAAATCTGAGTTTGTTTCCTTGTTTTCTAAAACGCGAAAGTCTTATAGGAAATCCAGCCAATATGTTTTTCATGCCTACACTTTCTGTGGCTAAGTTAGGAAAACTGAAAGCAGAAAACTCAACAAAGTACAAAAAAAAAAAAATTTAAAAACACTCCTCTATGTGTGTGGCTTTTTTTAGCTCTCAGTGAGATTCTCAAATGATTATTGTAATTCTATCTGAAGTTCCCTTTCTTGTTTCACGGCTTAATGCTCTGTTGTGTCATTTCCGAAACACTCCCCCATTTCCAAGGTTATGAGCAGAGAACAGCTCTTCACTCACTTGTGAACAAGTACTGTAAGAGAACTTAACAAATGAAGCAAAAGAAATCGTAATATCAAACCAGGTTGAGAAAGGAAAATGATAAGTGTCTGGAGGAAAGGGAGCATGAACTATCACCGCCTACCTTCCTTCCATCAAGCTCAGAGACGTTTTTAAACCTCACACCAATTCCTTGACAGCTTTTAAGAAATGAGATGTTTCCATTGTGATCTGAGTTATGCTGAGGTGCCTCTTCACTCTGCCTAAGCGGAAGGTAGGTTAAGCTTGGTAGAGGTGAACCACAGGGAGCCATGCTTGGAAAACTCTGCTCTGGGAAGTTTATCCATTCAAGTGCACCAAAGCTTTAGAACTCCCTACCCCTAGAATGTCTGCTTTTTCCAAATATTCAGAACACATTTGTTCATTCCCAATACAGGTGATGTGTACCCAATTCTTACCCATTTCCTCTGGCTTGGGACATTTTGCCCCTATGCAAGTGCCAGGCCTGGCTGCAAGTGTTGTCTTTGACTCCTCAGGTCCAGACCAGTCCTGCTGTCTCAGCTTTCAATGTTGTGGCCACCAAATGGGTGTGTGGCCCTCCTGTTCCTGCAGTCAGTGGGGACTGGGGAGTAATTTCTGCTTCCACCTTGGCTGGCACAGGAGTCCTCTCATCTTCAGCCACTGTGGCTGCTGCTGTTGCATCGGGGTTTTTGTGTTTTTATTTTTTAATTTAAATTTTGTAGTTAAAAAAATTAGGGTATATGGTTACATGCATGGCTCCAGAAGGTATACAGTGAAAAACCTCTGTTCTGACTTTGTCCTCCTGCCACTAAATCCCTTTCTGTAACAAGCAAAAATGTACATATATTCTTTTTAACCTCTTTTTTTATTGCAAATGTTAACATACTACATTGGAAATTTTTCACCTAAAATATCTAGAGATTATTTCACAACAGTACTTATAGAGCTTCCTCACTGTTTTAAAATGTTGTATGACATTCCATTATATGTACCTATCATGATTTATTTAACCAGTCTCATTTAGCCAGCTGACAGACTTTTTCAGGCTCTTTCCAATCTCTTTATCATGTAAGGTGTATACAATTTCATTATGGGTACAGGCATATCTGTAGGACACATTCTTGCAAGTGGAATTTTGGGCCAATGGGCTTATGTAATTAAAATTTTCACAGATGTTGCAAAATTGCATTTTCTGGAGATTGCACCCATTTACACTCTTCCAGCAATATGAGTGCCTCACACTCATACTGGGCTTCAGTTTACTTATATAGGAACTTAACCTGCTTGAAGCCACTCCAGCCTAATGGTCTCCCAATTTAAAATTGTATAACATAATATTAATATCTAAGCCTCAATAGTACCCTCCCTCCTACTTGCTTAACTGTATGTAAGAGATCCATTTTTTTTTAATTATAATGAACAGAAATTTATTGGTTCACAGTTCTGGAGGCTGGGAAGTCCAAGGCCAAAGGGCTGTCATCTGGCAAGGGCCTTTTTTTTTTGAGAGATCCAATGTTTAATAGTGTCCCTATTTCTGTAAATTTGCTAAAAACTTCAGGGATATTACATGTGCCTATGAGCCAGTCATTGTCATTATTTCCCATTCTGGTGAGCTGAACTAGGACTCTACAGCCTCTGCAGCAAGTGGTTCCATAGAAGTATCACTCAGAACTGAAACAACTCCTGAGCCCATGGCTATTCCCTGTCTACTGGTGGAGTGGAAACTCAACAATGCCTAGAGCTACATCTAGTGTCAATGAGCTACAGTCCTGCAGCTATACTGGTAAAGCTGGAACTGAAATGTCCTTGAGGCTACAGACCCAAACAGTAGACCTTACAAAATGAAAAGGACAATACCCCATCTAGATTACACTCAGGTACAGCAGTACAGGGTCCTACAGTAAGGTTGTGTGGATCTAATGTATCAGACCATTTACTCTCACCGTTCCTTTAATTAATACGCTAAATGACTTTTGCCAAGGGTAATACTTACTGCTAGAAGTCTGTGTTGAGGTAAATTCTATAGCAACAACCTAAAATCTCCTTGCTGAGATTTTAGAGTCTGAAGCCCTTGCTCTATTTCTGGGTCTAACTTGCCAGGCTGGGCTCCTTCTTCTCTTACAGAGTGCTCCTTCCTCTTATGTCCCACACTGTTCTTCCCAAAACTCTTGCCCCCATGAGGACCACACTAGTCCATCAGACCATGTTTCATATGCTTTCACAGAATTCAAAGTATTTTTCTTGGAAAGCTGTTCACCCCTGGTATAAATCATTGGATGCCAACAGAACCATGGTAGATGGATGTTCCTTAGGTTCTCTCCACAAAACTACACAAGCTCTTTTCCAGACACTGCACCCCCATCCCATCCCTCACCCCCAAAATCATCCAGCTGCACAGTTACCACAAAAGGGAGCAGGTTTCATGGGGTGAGCTGGAAAGTGGAGTACACAAAAGTCACCATGTTGACTCTCACTCACAAACCACTTCTGATAGTCTCTAGAGGATCAGGCCAAATTGATAATTCAATAAGTAAATGAGTAAATAAACTCTTCCATACAGTAGTATCTCAATAAATGTAGAAGGAATGACAGAAATAGAAAATCACAATTTGGTAAACACCACAGTAATAATTATGTCAGGCAGAGATAATTAATGGATGTTAAAATTGATACACAAAAGTATAATGAAAAACAGAATATTTACATAGTTTCAAAGTATCCCCTCATAAGATGCATATTAATTTCAAAGGAAAGACAGTAACTTTAGAGCAGTGAAACCTGCCAGATGCCATCTTAACTCAGTGATCAAAGTGCCTCATTACCAATGATGAGACACATCAACCACATTCCTCCCGACAAGACACACCGAGAAGGGTACAATGTCGCTTCTATGATATTCTTGACAAAATGTATAACCTGAATTAAATCATCGGGAAATATCAAACATAAATTGAAGAACATTCTGCAAAATAACTGGCCAGTACTCTTCAAAGAGTCAAAGTTATGAAAGAGAAAAACTAAGGAATTGTCTCTGATTAAAGTAGACCAAGGAACCATGAAAACGAAATGCAACTGGTGAGCTTGGACTGGATCCTGAACAGAAAAAGTCCACTAATGGGACAACTAACAAAATCTGAATAAGGTCTATAGATTACTTACTAAGTTCATTTCCTGTTTAAAAAATGGTACTATAGTTATATAATATAACATTTGTAGAAGCTAGGTAAAGAGTATGTGAAAATCCTTCATATTAGTTTTTGCAACTTTCTCAATAAGTCTGAAAGCATTTCAAAAGGACAAGTTGGGAAAAATAAAAATAAATTTTAAAAACTATGACAGCAAAATTCACTTATTACAATATTGGTTTGTAAAGAGTGTGAAAATACATATTAATTACAAAAATTATATTCATGCTTGAATTTAAAACTGGACAAGTAAACTTATCCTATGATTAGTCAAATGTAGGCTTATTCAGGCATTTCTTAAAAGCACACTCTAAAATTTCAGCATTTATTTTATTATCAGAAGTTGAAGGTCAGTATAACAATTGTACATGAAAATATTTCAGTAATCCTGGTTTGCCCTTGCAATAATCTGAAGAGATCTCTGCTGGGGACTATTTCATTATGACAATCGAGCACCAAATACAGTGACCTTCAGATTGTCAATTCTTGGGTGAAAATGGATAGAAGGTTTTCTACTTGGCAGATGAAAAATCAAGACCCCCCCAAATCCCTTTCCTTAGGAGGTATAGCTTAGGTAAGGAACCTATTATTATTATTATTATTATTATTATTATTTTTGCTGTTTGCCCTAAAATATACCAATATACCACTTTAAATATAGTGATTTCATTTACCAGGGGAAGGAAAAAACTTGTATAACCTAGAGGCAATATGTAAAATAAAAACAACAAAAAAAATGATAGAATAACTGGAGCCACAGGAAGCAGAACATCTTATATGTCACAGAATATTATAAAATGTTACAGTTTAGTAGTTTCTTATATAAATACTCAAGGAAAAACAACTGAATAACTAGTAGCCTTAATTTAGGGGTAGACCTATAATTACTACTTATAACAGCCTCTGCCGAATTATTTAAATATTTACCTAAAAGTTAAAATATCCAGGCTATAAGGTTTCCTGGCCTATTGTTCTTTTCATTTCAGACACATTCCCATTATCAAACACCAGCTGAACAACAGCACACGAGCACAAGAGTTGTCAGAAAATCATCTAAGGCCAGTGTAAGAAGGAATAGGTTTGAGGACTTTTCTCCCAATCAGCAAGTGAGGTCCAGGTCTGGAAGTCCTGCTTTCCTTGGCCCTCATAACTTCTGTTCCCTGGATTCTGTGATGAATCTTCCTTCTTGACCTTTGCCGTCCCACTCCCCTTTCTATCTTCTGTTTTTGTTTTCGAGACAGGATCTCGCTATCATCCAGGCTGGAGTGCACTGGCACTATCATAGCTTGAACTCCTAGGCTCAACCAAGATTCTCCCACTTCAACCTCCCAAGAAGCTGGGATTACAAGCATGAGCCATCATGCCTGTCCATCTTAATAGATGGGCTTGCACAGAAACAAAGTCTGGGTATACTAACAACTTACAAGGTTTAGCTGCCTTTACTTGCCCAAGAGGTTTTCGTTTTGGAGATTTAGCTTTGCCAAACCATATACTTCCTCTCAAATAGCTGGATTGGAGATAGGTTGAGAGGTGGATGCTTACATGTCTCTGTTCTGAGGTAAGTCTACACTTACAAGAAACTAGGCAAATGACTAATTCACAGAATCTCTCTTCTTTCACAGGGAAGGGCTTCCCCAACCAAATCTAGGGGAGCCTCTTGTCAAATTGGTTGTCTCTAAATTCCACAGAAGACTATATAGAAAATAGAGCCTTTGGGATATGATGAAGACTTCCCAGTAGAATTTTGTCTGCCTTATAAACACGTTTCCCTCACTTACTAAAGTTCCAGAGGATTAAGATTATGCCATTTTCATCATGTATTATTCACTCCATCAACATTTATTCACTCTGAGCCAGACCCTGGACTAGACATTGAGAACAGAAAACTAAAACATAGTACCTGCCCTTCAAAGGCTCACAGTCTGGCAGAAAGAAAAACAACAACTTATGATGTTAATTATATGTACTATAGCAGTGACTTTTTACAAAATGTTGTAGGAGCCCAGAAAAAGGGTCAATTGAGTTTGCTGAAGAAGTAAGTCAGAGAAGCTTCCATTGTGGGGGTAACATGTTAACCTGACCATTGAAGGATAGGCCAGGTGGGAAGGAGAAGCAAAAAAAAAAAAAAGAAAAGAAAAGAAAAAAGAAAACAATGTAGGTGTGGAAGCATACATGGTGAGGTAGGGGAGTGACAGGAGAAGAGTGGTCTCACAGTGGTTCTTTAGGAAGGCGAAAAGGTAGGAGTGAAGTGGTTACTCTAAGAAAGAAGACAGTGATATTAGATATGGTCAACTGGCACACAGCAAAAGATGGAAAGCTAGTCTTCATTTCCCAGACTCCCTCAACTAGAGTTCCAATTCTAATTAGATGTACTGGTAGAATATCAGGAGGACAAATGTGAAGAGGAGGCCATCTTCCTGCTGCTGCTGCCCAGCAAGGTCATGGAGATGGTTTTTCCACAGCATCACTCTAGCGTGCGGTCTTGATCTTTGTGAGAGTAGGAGGCAATGGCAGCAGTGCTGGCAAGAACTTTCTGATCCTGGCTTCCTGGCAATTGGATCACAGCTCTCCTAGGAGTCTACTGAACTCAGTGTTGTCATGGTGGCCTCCTGGCTCTCCAAAGGTAGAGATTCCCCCAGCAGGTTATTCCTGTAGGGTCTGGCAGTTATTCAGGCAGGCCCAACGTGGCACATGGTCCTTCACACTACCTTTTCTGTTCAAAATGACAAAATAATTACCATTTTAATTAAGAAGATGAAGTGACTGTTTTTATATATTCTTAGTCTAATATTAGCAAGTTAAAATTTGTTACGCTTTTTCAAAACAGTGTTTGTGTTTATTTTTCAATGGTATATACTTATTGTCTTATTTATGCCATTTATTTTTTTTCTTTTCTTAAGAGACAAAGTTTTGCTTTGTCCCCCAGGCTGGAGTGCAGTGACACAAACACAGCTCACTGCAGCCTCGAACTCCCGGGGTCAAGCAATCCTCCCACCTCAGCCTCCCTGTAGCTGGGACTACAGGCACATGCCACCATGCCTGGCTAAATTTACGCCATTTCTTGAAAATATCAACTTATTTTAAAATATTAATTTACCTCTTAAATAATATTAGACTCATCGCATTTTATATTAGATCTATTTTAAATTTATTTTTTCTTTGTGATAACATTAAATCACTAACATTAACTACATATTCTAAAATGCTTTTATACAAACGACATCCAAAAAACGTCTGTCCGTTATTTGCTCTAGTTCCCCAGAATTTTCCCTTTGATTTTGTCACATATATATGTTTAAAATGGACCCAGGGAAAGTATTATTTAGAACAAAAAAACTAAACCGATCAGCTCCCAGCTTGCATAAGTCTGATCAATAGGAATACATTTCTATATTATCCCCTTCCATTTACTGAGATGGAAGTTCCCAGGAAACTGAATTTTTCAAGTTCCTACCTATTCATCAGTCCTCCAGAGAGAGATCTAGATTGGAGAATGCTTTGTTGAGTACAACATGGTAATGAATCTCTTTAATTTACAAAAACATGTCCAAAGGAATCCAATAGAGAGTAAAGAGCCCAATTTGTCTACTGTATAAAGCAAGGAAAGCTCTGAATTTCAGAGGCAACCCTAGGGAGTAGTGACAGCCCAGGGGCAAAGAGAAGAGATTCAGAAGGGTGGGCAGTATTCTAGAGTGAGTGAAGAAAAGTAGGCAGGTAGTCAGAAGCAGTGGGAAAGGACATGAGGAGGGCCTACAGGGATGGCCAAGGAACTCCTAAATATCAGTACCTAATATTCCTTATTTAAGTTGTGGGCTCTATGTTATGGAATAAGGCATATAAATAGATAGGAAAGCTATCAGCATTCTAACATTGGAAGAAAGAGTAGAAGAGAAGAACCCAGCAAGAAAGATTGAGAAGAAAGGATTAGAGAGGTGGGATGAAAAGCAGAAGCCTGTGAGATGTTCTGGAGGGTGGGGGGAGGCAAGTGATCCCTCAGGTTCTTGGACTTAAATACCATCTATGCACTGATAACTGTAGGGGAAGAAAAACATTTCCGTATCCTGCTAGGTTCTATACCTGAGGCCTATGAATTAAACTGACAAAAGACAGATTAACAGAAGAAAAGCATACCAATTTTACTTGATGTTAATATTTTTACCATTCATGAAGGCTTCATGGAAAATAAGTGAAAAATCAAAGAAGTGGTTAGACTTCGGGGCTTATATGCCATCTTAACGAAGGATGATAAATTGAGGAGAAGTAACTAAAGAAAGAAAAGGCGGTTTGGGCTTACAGAGGTGGTAAACTGTGAGAAGGTAAAAATATAGGGGAAACTAATGGTAGATAAGGATTATAGTAAGGTTTCTTTGTGCAGACTCATCTTGGTGCTGTCTCCATTTCTGGTGATAAGGGGTGTTTTCCTTGTCTTGGTATGGGAGAAGAATGGGGACACCTTTGTGAGAATTTATGCTCTTTTAGGCAGATAAGGACAGAGAGCTCTTACTGTGTCTGATTTTCTCAATTGCCTTCAGATCAAAATTATCCTTATGCCAAAGTGGCATATTTGGGGGTGACATATTCTGATTCCATTCAACTCCCAAATTTATACCTCCAGCCAAGACTTCTCCCTGAACTCTACTTCTCATATAGTTGGCTGTGCAACCCACATTTCCTCTTGGATGTCCATTAGGCTTGTTCACATTAACACACCAAAAACCAAATTTCTATATTCTCATGCCAAACTTCTTTCACTCTTATGTTTCTCATTTTAGTAAGTTACAATTCCATTCTTCTGGTTGGTAAAACCAAAAATCTTGGAGTTATCCTTGATTCCTGTCTTTCCCTCATATTCAGAATCTCCTTGCCTCTACCTTCAAAATATAACCAGAATCTAAGACGTCCCACTGCCTCTATAGCAAACACCCAAGTCTAAGCCACCATCATCTCTCATCTGTTTGCCGCAATAACCTACTAAATCCCCACTTCTATCCCTGTATCTCCTCTCACCGTCTATTCACAACACAGCAATCAGGATCCTTTCTAAATAGAAGTCATTTTAAGTCATTCTTCCAACCCTAATCCATCGTGGCACACCCTCTGAAGCCCTCATTTTATGGCCTACAAAACCCTATACAATCTAGCTCCATTTCCCTCTGATCTTATCCCCTACTCCCCTTCCTCTATTGAATCTGCTTCAGCTACTGACCTCCATACTATTTATTCCTCAAACACACCTGCACTCTCCCACCTCTGGACTTTTGTAAATGCCCTTCACTCCACTTTAAGTACGGTTTCCTAGGATACCCACTGGACTTGCTCCCTCTTCTTCTTCATGCCTTTTTTGGTCAAAGTGAATCTCCTCAAAAAGGACTGCCCTGACCATTTAAGTTACAATTACACCCTCCTTCCCACTGCAAGCAGTCCCTTTACCCTGCTTTGTTTCTCTCCTAAGGCTTTTAACATATAGTGGGCCCTCCCTATCCGAGGGTCCACATCTGCTAATTCAACCGATTGAAAATACTTGGGGAAAAAAACTAACAGAAAATAACAATACCACAATAAAAATAATACAAATTTTAAAGTTATATAGTATAAAAACTATTTACATAGCATTTACATTGTATTAGGTACTATAAGTAACCTAGAGATGATACGGGAGAATGTGCATAGGTTATATGCAAATACTGTATCATTTTAGATGAGGAACTTAAGCATCTGCAGATTTAAGCATCAAAAATCTAGAACTAATCCTGATTTACTCACTGTCATTCACTGTTCCAGGTTTTTGACAGGGGTCCTGTAAGTAATCCCCAGCCGATACTGATGGATGACTGTACCATATAATCTGCTTTCTTGTGTTTTGCAGTCTGTTCTCTTCTTCCCAAAGTATAAGCTCCAAAAGGGCAGGATGTTTGCCTCCTGAACACTAGTATATCCTCAGTGTCTAGAACATGGACTGGCACATAATAAGCCCTCAATAAACATTTGTTTAATAAATGAATAAATATAACTCATTTCCTCAAAAACCTCCAGTAAAGTCTCTTGTAACTAATAGTTTTGCTTTGGCAAAAGAAAACAGAGGCCAAGTGTGGTGGCTCATGCCTGTAGTCACAGCACTTTGAGAGGCTGAGGCAGGCAGACTGCTTGAGCCCAGGAGTTAGAAACCAGCCTGGGCAACATGGAGAAACCTGTCTTTACAAAAAATTTAAAAATTTAGGTGGGCGTGTTGGCACGACTTGTGGTCCCAGCTATTCAGGAGGCTGAGGTGGGAGAATCCCTTGAACCCGGGAGGTGGAGGTTGCAGTGAGCCAAAATCGCACCACTGCACTCCTACCTAGGCGACAGAGCAAGAAACTGTCTTCAGCAACAACAACAAAAAAATACTCCTCGTTTGGGAGAGAAATAACAGTCAAATAATAAGAGTAAAATTGCAAATTCAAAACCAAGTTGGAACTAGAAGCGGCTAGGAGAAACTCCTTACTACCACCACCAATGACACAGATGGTGTGCTGGGAAGATGATTTGAGCTATTTTTATATAAATATTAAATGGAAAGGAGACCGAAAATTTGACCCAGAAATCTGAGGTTATATGTGTGAACATTAGCCATCATTCATGCTGCTATACACAATGAGGAGTCATGGAAGGATTTTTAACAAGGGAATAGAAGGTCTGGAGTGTAAAGAGCATAGAAGTGAGGAGAACCATTAGGAAGCCACTGCAATACTAGTTCACATAGCTAATGATGAAGATTTGAACAAGGCAATGGCGTTGGGAATGATGAGGGAGGGAAAAATTCCAAACATCTCAGCTGTAGAATCAACAGGATTGGTGACTGACTGGCAGAAAGGCATGGTTGGGATACATCCAAGGTTTCTAGCATTAGTATTTGAGTGAACAACAATGCAGTTATTTGGGTTTTATAATAAAAGAGGCAGGTTTTGCTGGGGAAATGGTGATTTTTAGTTGGATTTCAGTGGAAATATCCAGAAGAAATCTGGAATTAAACATGAATGCAATATTCTGGAATTAATCTGTAAACAGAATGCACAAATAGAAGAGACAAGAGGAAAGTGAACATATAAAAACGGTGGCCAGGAACATTTGAGAATTGGGTAAAAGGAGAGAAGCCAACGAGAAATCGGAAAGAAGTTGATATACATGCCAAAGAAGGAAAAGAAGTAAACAAGAACAGTCAACATTGTCAAATACTCAGTAAGATGCTAGCTGAGAGAAGGTAAAATAATTCTTACTGGATGGTGGAGGTAGAAACCAAATTGTTGTAGTCTTAAGGAGTGAATGACAGTGAGAACAAGAGGACACTAAATTAAAGCTCTGCTGAAGAAAATAGTAAGGCAGTAACTTGAGGGTGAGTCATTGTCCATAAAGGATTTTTATTTCCCACCATAGTCCTAACCTAACATTTGACATCTATCTAGTAGGCACTCAATACCTACTGAATGCAATAATATTTTCATTTATAGACCAGGTCTCCTATAAAATGGTCCAGTGTTCTCCACATAAAACAGCACAAAACTGATTGATCATTCTAGGTGGGTAGAGGGATTGAAGGAAATAAAGACATTTCATATTCTATATTATGTTTTGGGTTAATTGGCAAGAATAATTACTTCTTTCTCACCCCATCTCTGACTATACACACACCCAAATTATAGATTATAGAGGAGAAAGGAATTAAATGACTCCCTTGAGACCAGAACTGCATAGTCCAAAAGAAAAAAAATTCAGCAATCTTACTTTGTTAAAAAATTAGGCATCAAGATGCTGCAATTTGCCTTACTTACACATTTAATTGCTCTTAGGTTAGATATATAATATGGGAAACCTGGAAAAAATGTTTAATGGTATAATAAACGTTTACGACCTAACATTAAATGAAAAAAGCAGCTGCCATATTGCATATTATCTCAATTTGGGAAACAGGAAAAAATATAAATACAAACACACATGCACACACAAAGTCGGAATAAATAATATAAGAAAATAAACTGAACGGTCACAGTGGCTCACGCCTGTAGTTCCAGTTACTCAGGAGACAGAGACAGGTGGATCGTTTGAGCCCAGGAGTTCAAGACCGGCCTGGTAAACATAAGGAAACTCCGTCTCCACAAAAAAAGGAAAAATTAGCCAGGTGTGGTGGTGCATGCCTGTAGTCCCAGCTACTCAGGAGGCTGAAGAGGGAGATCAGTTGAGAAGAGGAGTTTGGTGATGCAGTGAGCCGAGATTGAGCCACTGCACTCCAGCTTGGGCAATATAGAGCGAGACTCAGTCTCAAAAAAAAAAAAAAAAAAGACAAGAAAGAAAGAACATCTTTCTTTTCTGAATTTTCCCAATTTTCTACAATTAAAAACGCTTTAAAGATTTCCATAAAGTCAGTCATGGGAATTTCTATCTAAGCACTTACCAGCAATTTAAGCTCCTTGTCTTTTGATCTAAGTGGCTCCAAAATAACAATAAAGGCTACAGTGATCGAAATTCACCAGACCTGAAATAGACTGCAGCCTTCTTCCTTCCCACCTTCTTAGAATCTTTGTCCTATTCATCTTCCTTACGCTTCCCTGGGTTCTCTTACTTCTGGATTCTAACGGTGAATTGTGAGAAGCAACGCGGAAAACGGAACGGAGACACCAGCTTGTTTTAAACGAGCTGTATTACCCCGCACAGTGCAGGGGAAAAGATAATTGGCTCAGGTCTTGGCTCTGCCGTCTACCACCTGTGGAGCCTTAAACAAGTCAGTTCATATTTCTGCCACTCAACGGTCTCGGTCGTGTCATCTTTTACCTGGAATGTCATGAAATATACAGTACACTGCAAGAACTGCCTCAGGTAAAGACTTCTAGGATTCGGTAAGTCTCAGTCGATCCCTCTGAGAAAGGCCGCACCCTAAACGCACAGACTCTGACTCTGAGGGGGTGGGGTCGGGGAATCTGCATTTTAATAGCTTCTCAGGTGATTCAGATGCTCAGTCAGGTTTGAGAAACCAGGTCTCTTCCCAGCCCTCCTGTTCTCTGATCCATTTCTCTGCTTCCCCCAGGTCCTAACGATTCTCCAGTTCCCGCACAACAGGAGCGGAGGGAAGAGTGCAGAGAAGGAACAGCCAAAGACCGCAGGCCCAGCCGGCTGGCCGACCTCCTCATTCCCGGGGCGCCAGCCGGCGGGTTACATAACGGGCCTCGGGGCGCGCTCTCGCGAGGTTTCCACCGCCCCCTCCTCGTTCCACGTCAGAGGGAACCGGGCGGAGCGGCCAACATGGCGGAACGCAGGAGACACAAGAAGCGGATCCAGGTAGCAAAGCCGAGCTCTGGGCAGGGGGTTTCAGCACGATGGAAAGTGGAAGGAGCGGGGAAAGCCCCCTAAAAGGGCGAGCGAAAGCAAGGGCGAGGTGGGGTGGGGTGGAGTTCCGCCGCGAGGCAGCTGGCTGCAGGTTGCGTCGTTGTGAGGGGCCTGGGGTGGTGGGGGGGCGGTGTTGGCGACGGCGGAGACAGAGACAGAGGTGGTGGTGGAGCAGCAGGGTAAGGAGGGAGGCGCCGCGCTCGGAATCCGGCTGCGGGGGCGCGGCTGTGGGCTCGGAGTTCTTGTGGTCGCGCCGTCCCGGGCCTGACCTGGGAGGTCAGCCTCCTCCGGGGCGCAGACGTTGACCCTTCCCGGGGCTCCTCCCCTCCCTTCACCCCATCCTCTGGCCTTAGCTGTCCTGAAATTAAGGCCACGGTAATTGGGGTAGCAGGAGGCGGCGGACTGACCTAAAGCAGCTGGTCCTTTGTGCGCATAGACCGTAAGGGAGAATGATCTGGACTTGGTCAGCTGCCTCGGGGCCTAGGCAGCGATCTGCTCATCCAGATGTTCAGTTGCGTTGCCCTTCTTTCCCCTCAATATTCTTCACTTAATAGTCCACTTGAAGCTTGCCGGCTTTTTTCCAGGCGACGTGGTGTAAACAACCACAACCTCGTTGGTGCTGCAACGAGCTGGTGGCGCCCAGAAACCCTTCACATGCCAGTGTGTCATCTTCGTAGTAACCTACATAACATCCCTGCCTCACTCCACATGCATGTCATTTGTGCATTTCTTCCTTGCGATTTTCCCTGGTTCTTGTTCTTTGCCAAGAGGATTAATTATGTAGAACATCTTGGACTCAGGATATTTATTAGTCGTCTCATCAGCTGATGTGCTGAGAAACCTTCATAAGGCCTCATACATTGATCACATGTAGTAAATTGTTACTATAATCATAAATTGTTACACTCATCATTGCCTTTCTCTTCCTTACTATTTCATTGCTTAGAATGATTTTTTCTTTCTTCCATTTTACCCCGTCTTTTTTTTTTTTTCAAGTTTATCCATTTATTGGCCTACACTACAGGTGTTTTGAGCTATACAAGTTAAAATTCTTCTGGAAACTTTTAAAATGCTGTGAAAAAGACACACATGATCAATAAATTTGGAATTTTGGAATTTGGCAGAAATAAAGTAGTTCTGAACAGGGTACGGAAGGGAATTAGAAAGAGGCAGATTTCAAGTTCAGACAGATCAGACTAGGTCTTAAGATCAGTAGAAGTTTCTAATTATACTGTTCTTAATCTTTCAAGAGTTAGTGTTATTCCTCTGACGTGGGCATACAATATTTTATTAGATTGTGTATTGAAATTGTCTGTCAGATTTGTACTTACAGAACTTCTTAGATTTACTCTTGACAGTACAATTTTATGCCCTTCAATACACATTGTTTTACAATTCCAGTTGCTTTTTAATATTGTTGTAAGGGTTATATAATTCACCTTTTGAATAGCTGCTCTTATTTTAGTTGTGATCTTATATTAAACAGAGGCTGTGGAGTAATGTGACAGTGGCAGAGAGCTCAAACTTGAGCCAGACTGCCTGTTTGTACCCCAGCTCCACCAATTATTGGCTGAGTAACTTTGAGCAAGTTAATTTTTACCTCACTTTCTGCATGTGTAAGAAGGGATATTTACCTCAAAAAAGAAAAACTTTAAGGTTGCTGTGAAAATAATAGGTGAGTCAACTTATTTATTAAAAGTTATTAAAAGTATTTGGCACATAACCCCTTCCTTCTATTCTACTCCTTACCCAGGATGAAGGATTTAGATTGGATTGTTATTTTGTTTTTTGTTAAGTACTCTTTGATATACTGAAGAAAGATTAGCAACCCCCTATTCAGTAAATAAACTGTTAGGTTGGGAGTTATGTAGAGTATAGCTATTTACTTTCTATTATTTGAGGATCAATTATTAAAAACCTACTTGGCATACACAAAATTAAGTGACATTTATTTTTCTGTCCTTGAAATTTTCTACATGGCTGTGTAAAATGTTTGTGAGAGATCTTAGAGTACTACTTTTATGCAGCCTAACACACTTGTCAAAATATACTAGCCTAGAAAATACCTCAGTTTTATCATTCCAGATAATCAGAAGCTCTGTAATCACTTGTGATAAAAAGATCAAATGTAATGAAAAGTTTAGAGTTTAACTTACAAAAAAGATCCTGTTGTGGAATTTTTAGGCAAAAAAGTCTGTAATACCAGCTGAGTTTCTGTCATTTGTTGCTTGGCGTTTTATGTTCAGAAAGATGTTTACGTTTAGTGATTCAGTGATCTTTAATTGTAATTTGCACATTGGGGAGAAATGTTTGATACAAACAGATAAGTTCGGGGTTAAAAAAAAAAGGTAGCTAATTTGCTTTTTCTGTGTAATTCAGTGTAATTTCAGATTCTCGTGTCCCACTGAAGTTTCTAGCAAGAGGACTGTTGTCACATTTCCTTCTTGGACTCACATTACTGGTCACTGAAAACCAGAAGTGAGCTACATGTACTCATACAGTAACTACATATAGATGAACAATGTGCTGCTGCATACCAGTAGTTGATTTACAATCCTGGTATCAAGAAATTTTAGAGTTTAAAAGGATCTAGTAGGATTTGTTGGGAAGCCTTTTTCATGAATTCAGTCTTACATGAAAGCAGAGTGGTGATCCTACAGCTTACTGATCTTACCCAACACCCTCGTTTTTCAGATAAACTGAGGTCCAGTGAGGTTTTGTGACTTAATCCAGGATCATCAATCAAGATAGTAAAACCAGATTTAGACCAGGTCTTCTGATTCCCAACTGAATACTCTTTCCGTGTCACAATAGATAAAAAATAAGTTGCTCTGAAATAATTTAATCCTGACTTCTTTATTATTGAACTGTACAACGTAAAGACTTAACATGACTTGTCCTTGCTAAAGAGAATCGTCCCATTCAGTATTCTGCTTATATGTAAAATATCCAGTTGAGTTTTGAGACATTTAAATGGCTAATTCTTAGAACTTTTATAACCCTCCATTAGTTATTTTTGTTGCACCCATCTGTCTTCCTGGCAAGCAATAAAACCTTGACATATTATGGGCTTATGTGCTTAATTTCAGGACAGGGAAGAAAAGAGAAAATTTAGGACTATATAGCCAGCTATACAGGTCTGATGTCTGACTCCGAATATTCTGAAGAGAAGGAGCTCAGGAAGCCAGTCCTAAATCAGAAAACTCCCCCCAAAGACTTAATGGAGGGTTTTGCAGTTTAGCAAACCCATTGCTAAGGAAAGAATACAATAGAAGGGAGTTGGAGCTATTACAGAAGGGTACTGCTGTTGTCTAGATACTCTTGTACAGCTTTATTTGTATAGCACACTGTGTTACTAAAGATTAAGGTCCCCTCCAGCTTTCAGATTTTATTGTTAAACTACTATTTGCATTTTTCACAAATATTTTATGCTGCTTGAACCAAGCATTTTTCTTTTTTGCTCAGTTCATGGTTGACAGATCAGCTAAGCTAATTTTTATTGGATGTAGTAATTTTTTTTTTTTTTTTTTTTTTTTTTTTTTTTTTGAGATGGAATCTCACTGTGTCGCCCAGGCTGGAGTGCAGTGGCCGGATCTCAGCTCACTGCAAGCTCCACCTCCCGGGTTTATGCCATTCTCCTGCCTCAGCCTCCCGAGTTGCTGGGACTACAGGCGCCCGCCACCTTCCTGGCTAGTTTTTTGTATTTTTTTTTTTTTTTTTTTTTTTGAGGCGGAGTCTCGCTCTGTCGCCCAGGCTGGAGTGCAGTGGCGCGATCTCGGCTCACTGCAAGCTCCGCCTCCCGGGTTCCCGCCATTCTCCTGCCTCAGCCTCCCGAGTAGCTGGGACTACAGGCGCCGCCACCACGCCCGGCTAATTTTTTTTGTATTTTTAGTGGAGACGGGGTTTCATTGTGTTAGCCAGGATGGTCTCGATCTCCTGACCTCGTGATCCGCCCGTCTCGGCCTCCCAAAGTGCTGGGATTACAGGCTTGAGCCACCGCGCCAGGCGTTTTTTGTATTTTTTTAGTAGAGACGGGGTTTCACCGTGTTCACCAGGATAGTCTCGATCTCCTGACCTCGTGATCCACCCGTCTCAGCTTCCCAAAGTGCTGGGATTACGAGGCTTGAGCCACCGCGCCCGGCCTGGGTGTAGTAATTTTTAAAAGTTCCTCTGTATCACAAATTCTGTAAGATTGATGCCCGTGGCATATTTACTCTTGATCTATTATTTTTTTCTCAAAAAGGTTAAATATTGACTAAAATAACTTAGAAATGGCAAACTCTATTTTATCATAGTATTTTAGTGTTGCTGTATTTTAAAGTAAAACATAGTATTTATTAAAGAATTTTATAAGAGTGTTCTAACCAAACTTCCAATTTAAATAATTTTGGATTTTAAGTTACAACACCCAATGTATTGGTATTGGGTGCAAAGAAAGGAAAAGCAGTCCAGCCTAAATTTATTGACTCTTAGCTTCCTCATTTTAAGACAGTTGTGTTCATTCATTGAACTAAGAAGTTCTCTCCATTCATTTGAAGATTGATGGGTTGGTTTCTCTTTATTAGCGGGTGCTACTATTCCCAAAAGGCCTTCACTTTGTTAGAAGTCTTCTAGGAAAGTTACAAAAATATTCTGTTTACATCAAAAGAAAAAGAGGGGAGGTACTGTGGTCCAACGTACAGACAGAAAGAAGGTAAAACTTTTGTACTCCCTTATGCTATATCAGGAGAACAGTGAAAGTGAAGACTCCATGCACGTTGGATGTGGTGGCTTGTGCTTGTAATCCCAACTATCTGTTCATGTTCTCATGGTACTCTTTTATCTTTTCTTTTCTTTTTTTTTTTTTTTTAAAAGAGACAAGGTCTCACTCTGGTACCCAGGCTGGAATGCAGTGATGGCATCATAGCTCACTAGAGACTCAAACTCCTGGGCTCAAGTGATCCTCTGGCTGCAGCCTCCCAACTAGCTGGGGCTACAGGTGTGCACCACCTCACCTAGCTAATTTTTTTAAAGTTTTTGTAGAGATGGAGTATCACTTTGTTACCCAGGCTGGTCTTAAACTCCTGGTCTCAGGCAGCCCACCTCGGCTTCCCAAAGTGGTGGGGATTACAGGGATGAGCCGCTGAGCCCTGCCTCTCATGGTACTCTTCTACAGCAATTGGTCTTTCTGGCTTCAAAGCCCAAGCAGTGGCACAAACTATATTGTTGCATTGAAGGCAGTCTACAATATGGATAAGTTATTATAAGTTAATAAATTGCAATACTTAAAGAAAGTATCAATAAACAAGTTAATTCTGTGTCTAGTTGGGAGAGATTATCTAAGTCCGTGTTTTCTCTTCCTTTCATTGCCACTTGGTAGTGCCTTTACAAAGGACAGGATGCAGTTTTGGAAGAGTTTGGTGAACTTGAAATTAATTGTTAAAATGAGATTTTTAAATTTTGTGCATACATATCAGATTCCCTATTGTGTAATATGTAATTCTCAATTTTTATGTATCCTAATATTTAATCAGATTTTACATGTGATACCTCTATCAGCAGTAAGTAGATTAGTATATTTATGTCTGTATTCAGGAATAGTATTATTGAGTGTTAGTATGAGTATATATGTATCATGCCTAAATTTGATACGGTCTTTCTCTACAATTACCTTCCTCCCAAATTTCCTCTGTTGATAAAGTTAGAAATCTGACATCTTTACCTAACCATTTTATTTATCCTTTATCATTGAGTTCTATCTGTTCTACATTTGAAATGTTTCAAATATCTAAATTTCTTTCCCACTTATAATCTGGTATCACACCAAAATTTACTTGGATATTACAGTAGTCTTCCATCCGTTTCCCTGCCTTATGCATTTTTTTCCATTTCATCCTACACACAGCCACCAAATCATGTCTAAATCATTTTTCTAATTATGTCCTATTCAGAAACTACTAGTGGTCTTTCTCCTGCTTACAGAATAAAGTAGAAATTTCCCCACCTACCTTGATGACTCTTTATTCTACTTTTACACACTTAATCTCCCAATACTTCCTAGCTTGTCTCTACTACAGCCAATTTTGTGTCATTCTCAGCCACAATATTTATGGCTTTTCAATCAATTTACCCAAAACTGGTTCATCTTTCAAAATTTAGCTTCCTCTTCCAGTGTTCCTGTCCACATTGATAATCTCACTCCTACTTTGTGTGCTTTTACTTTGTTGCCAAGGCTGGAGTGCAGTGGCATGATCTTGGTTCACTGCAGCCTCAACCTCCCAGGGCTCAAATGGTCTTCCTACCTCAGCCTCCTGAGTAGCTGGAACGACACATGTGCACCACCTTTTTCTTTTTTTCTTTTCTTTTTTTTTTTTTTTTTTTTAGTAGAGAAGGAGTTTCACCATGTTGCCCAGGCCGGTCTCAAGCCTGGTCTTCTGGGCTCAAGCAGTCTGCCTGCCTCAGCCTCCCAAAGTACTGGGATTACAGGCATGAGCCACCCGACCCATCCTACTTTGTGTATTTCAAAAATATTTTTTCTGCCTCTCTTTTTGTGAAATAATAATTACTGCTTCTAATAGTTATGTAATAGAGTGTACATATCATGTCTTGCAAATCTTTGCTGTTAACTGTAGCATCCAAAGATGATAGGGTAAGTACTCTGTAAGTCTGAAAGAACAGGTCACGTTTATTCAGACTTCTCCCCCACAATTTTTAATCAAGCACCTCCCAGTAACAAATTATTTAATTAGATCAGCTTTAAGTTGACAACAGATGTATCAGATGAGGAAAAAATTGAGCATGTGTGGTGTGATTATATAATAGAATTGGTTTTTATAAACCATTTATAGTATTATTTTCAACTTTTATAGTATTACTTTTTCAGATGTATGGATATATAGAATATTATTTACTAATTGAGGCTCTGCGAAGTGTAGTGTATTTTACAAACATAATTAAATATTACCATTTAATATACCTGATACCAACATATATTAATATATTTTAGTATGGTTTCAAAAATTTTAATGAGGAATTTTTGCCTTTTATTATATCAGAAAGTATATTTTGTAGTCCGACCTCAAATAAATCATTATGAATCTTGTAGATGTTCCTGAACTTGGAGTGTTAAATTTTTAATTTGCCATTTTTTAAGATTCTACTTTTTGGCTGGGTGTGGTGGCTCATGCCTGTAATCGTGGCACTTTGGGAGGCTGAGGCATGCAGATCACCTAGGTCAGGAATTCGAGACCAGCCTGGCCAACATGGTAAAATCCCATCTCTACAAAAAATACAAAAAATTAGCCGGATATGGTGGTGGGCACCTGTAATCCCAGCTACTCAGGAGGCTGAGGCACGAGAATCATTTGAACCCAGGAGGTGGAGGTTGCAGTGAGCTGAGATAGCACCATTGTACTCCAGCCTGGGCGACAGAGCAAGACTGTGTCTCAAAAAAAACCAAACAAACAAACAAAAAAGATTCTACTTTTTGTGATACATATTTTCATATATAAAAGTTTTAATTTCATAATACTTGATTTTTACAGTAGTCTTCTTTTGGGTTGAGTGGTTTGGGCTTTTAATTTTTATTTCCACAAATAGCCCACAGCTGGTAGTTGCAGACTGTAGAGATTGTACACTGGTATGATCTTACACAGGTAATTGGCTACTGGAAGTAGAGGACTTGGGAAATACAAAGGAAGAAATGAGAGATGTAGCTGCCAGGAGACTCAGTAACCAAAACACAAACCTCCACTTCCTCTAACATATTATTCCTTTTTGGAATAAAATTAAAGGTTTGTTGATTGTTCTTTATTTTCCTCAAACATAACTGAATTCAGACTTATCTTAACTGTGGAAAAACCTGACATAGATAAGTTGGATAGATTCTTTTTTCTATTTTGCATCATTAGATTTTTTTCACTTGAAACAACTGTGTTTAGCATTAATTCTTGGCATCTTAGATTCTTGCCAGATAATTTTTTACTATTATTTGGCATTTTATTCTTTAAAGAAGCAGACCTTCCTGAAATCATTCACATTTAGATTATATGTTGCTGGAAATATTGAATGTTCTGTGTATTGTGCTTAAGCGTGTAATTAAAGACAGTAATTAAGAACAGTGCATTTGTTTCAGTAGCTTACAGCAATAAGACAACTTTTGAAAGTTTATACATAAGATGTATACAAAGATAGACAGCCTTCATCGTCTTCAGTACGTGAGCAGGGAAAATAAGTTCACAGGAGGAATTGTCAAAGAATTTCAGAATGAAAGGGAATACAGGGAAGATAGGGAATGAGAAACAATAAAGAAAATAATAGAAAATTTGGGAAAAGGTATAGAAGAAAGAAAGCAGAGAAAGACTAAAACGGCCTTTCCAAAACGACTCTTTGTCAGTGCACTTCTGTTAATCACTTCTTCAAATGAGATAGTAATATCTCTTTTTGCATTTTTTATTTTTGCTTCATCCTTACTGGAGAAGAGAATATGAGAAAGACAGTCCCAGGAGTGTCTAGTATCTGCAACCACAGTGGGAAAGCAAAGAGAATACAAATTGTCATTGTCTCAGTAGTTCTTATGGCTACCACACTGGGGCAGCTGTCATTGATTAATTTGAGAACTCCTCCTGTGATCTGTTGTCCATTGTTCAGGGTACCTATCTTTGGCTGTTATTTTAACATTTATTTATGACATTTGTTTCTACTTACTTTGACATTTAGGTACTCACTACTAGCAACTCTTATCTTTTTAATTACTGCCTTGTGGCTTATAAAAAGAGACTATAGGCCAGCAGCAGTGGCTCATGCCTGTAATCCCAGCACTTTGGGACACCGAGGCCAGCAGATCACTTGAGGTCAGAAGTTCAAGACCACCCTGGCCAACATGGCGAAACCCTGTCACTACTAAAACTACAAAAATTAGCTGGGCATGGTGGCAGGCACCTGTAATCCCAGCTACTCAGGAGGCTGAGGCGGGAGAATCGCTTGAACTCAGGAGGCAGAGGTTGCAGTGAGCTTAGATTGCACCACTGCACTCCAGCCTGGGCGACAGAGTGAGACTCCATCTCAAAAAAAAAAAAAAAAAAGACCATATAAGAATGAAAGTGAGCTGGTACAAAGTAGTTACCATTGTGGAAAAAACAACTCAAATGCCTCATAGTCGAAGCCGAGAAGCAGAAAGGCTTTGCCTCTATCAACTTACATTTGAAAAATGTAGTTTCTTTAAATCTCCAGTTTGTCTTTTGAACACATTATCAGTTCTGCTCCAGGGAAAGCTTGAAAGCAAAGCCTGTACTCCACTTGAAAAGATTCATAAAATAGATTTGTAAATTATTCTTCAGCGCATGGATTTCTCAAGTAAATGATTATACTAAATTCATATTCATATGTTGCAGGAAGTTGGTGAACCATCTAAAGAAGAGAAGGCTGTGGCCAAGTATCTTCGATTCAACTGTCCAACAAAGTCCACCAATATGATGGGTCACCGGGTTGATTATTTTATTGGTAGGATTATATCAGTAAAATCATATTAGTGTACCTATCTTGTGAAGTTAACCTACGTTTGGGATATGTAGAAGTTTTAAAAGTGCTTTCCAAATGTTATTGTTCTGGTGATGGGCATATGGCAGTTGATTATTCTGTTCTTCCCTTTTATGATTGAAAATGTCTATAATAAAAAAATAACATGTTTTCTAATAACAATTGTTGGAAATTTTTTTAAATAGGATTTATTTTCAGTGTTTTAATATACTACCTTTTGTTTAGATAGTATGTGTACTTGGAACTAAGAGCTTTGGCTTTTTTCCCCCGAACAATGTCATTATAAGCTGATGTCATTTATAACACCAGAGCTTATAAGTAGGGGTTGAGTTTGCCTTTCTCATCAATTAAAAGTGAATTGCAGCTGGGTGTCGTGGCTCACACCTATAGTCCCAACACTTTGGGAATCCAAGGCAAGAGGATTACTCGAGGCCAGGAGTTCAAGACCAGCCTATGCAACACAGTGAGATCCTATCTCTACAAAAAAAATTAGATGAGTATGATGGCATGTGCCTCTGAAGTGAGAGGATGGCTTGAGCCCAGGAGTTGGAGGATGCAGTTAACTATGATCTCACCACTGTACTCCAGCCTGGGTGACAGAGCAAAAACCTGTCTCTTAGAAGAAAAAAAAAACTAAATTGCCAGTAGAGAGGAAAATTCCTTTATCGTCTCTCTCTTTAGTGTTATTAATGATTTGACATTCATTATAACTTTAAAAAAGTAGATGTGCTAATCTCTTCAGATAGTATGTTTAGCTGTTTCTTGTGACAGCAGTAGATTGTTGACAGAGCTTCTTCCTCAGTGTATTAGAGTAAAACTTGAGAATTTTTATTACTTGCAGGGAGCAGAGAATATTTTGGTTTATCTACATATGCTTGTGATTAATAAGAGTGATAGTTACATACAGATATTTTAAATTTTTTAATATTTCCCCATTAATTTATCTTGCTTTAGTTGGTATTTCTGAATGCCATTATTTCCCAACATTACTTTTAAAAGATACTTAATATATTTCACAAGTTGAGGTTTTGGGGAACTATTAATCATGATCATGTTAGATTTAATTTTCTGTTGAGTTTGGTTTTCTTTTTTGTTGCCAGAGTGTTGAAATTTCACTTTGTAAAATATTATTTAGATAGACATAAATTCCCGTGTATACTAAATTTAAAATAATGAATTTTTTCTTCAGCTTCAAAAGCAGTGGATTGTCTTTTGGATTCAAAGTGGGCAAAGGCCAAGAAAGGAGAGGAAGCTTTATTTACAACCAGGGAGTCTGTGGTTGACTACTGTAACAGGTACTGTTTATTTCTTAGTGAAGAATAACATAATAATTTTAAATTTTCTTCCTAGTCCTGAAGCTCCTTACATCATTAAATGTAGTGATACTACAACATAACTCAAATATAGTTTTCACATGTAACCTGATTTCTTTGGTACCTCTGGAAATGTGTTTGGTATTAGACTATTATACTTTTAACTGTATATAATTTTTATTTATGTTTTATTACTTTTATATATTTGTGAGCCCTACTGAAGAGTCAGCAACAAAAATCGTATACCAGTGCCTACAGTAGAAAAGGAAGTTCTTTCTTTTGTAGAGCAAATTGGTTGGGGAGTCTTTTTTTCAAAACTTGCAGGAATTCCTATTAGCTGTGTTACCGCAATTTTTTTAGTGCCTGCACTCTGAGCCATAAGCCGCATACCCTTTCCTATTTGGTTCAGTGTTTGCTAATGTAGTATTTCTTCTAAAATCAAGGCAGCTGCAACATCTACCTTGTCTTTTTCTGAGAATTTCAAGATGAAATACAGCTAATTCAGTAATGTACATGTATTTTTCGTAATAGATTTTTTTCTGTTTTGAAAAAACTTTTGATGGTGAGTGGTTTGCCTAAAAGATAAAGTCACCTTCCTTTTGGAAAGAAGTATGCTAGTTTTTCTTTCCATTTTTTTCTTTTTTTCTTGGTTTACTTAATACTAAGCATTTTCTTAATATATGTTAACTAAATTTTGTTTTCAAAACACTAAAGCTTATCTTTGGGGATTTTAGATTATTTTATGTGTACTAATATTTTATTTAATGGCACCTAAAGTATCAGCCACCTAAGAACCCTCTTAAAAACCACTGTTTCACCACCTGGTTTCTTAAGCTGTCAAGTCAAAGAATTATTGAATATTTCTTAAAATTCTTAGTTGCCAAAGACTAGAGGTTACTAACAGACCTTTTAGAAACAATAGGTTTCGGCCGGGCGCAGTAGCTCACGCCTGTAATCCTAGCACTTTGGGAGACTGAGGCAGGCGGATCACGAGGTCAGGAGATGGAGACCATCCTGGCTAACACGGTGAAACCCTGTCTCTACTAAAAATACAAATACTGTCTCCTCCAACAAAATGAAGATGCATTTAATGGAGCTATTAGATCTGTAAGCCCAAATCTCTGAGTAGAGTGGCCAATGTGATTCCACATTTTTTGGCTTTTTAGGAGCCTTGGTACCTTGTTATTTGAAAAGCTCAAAAGACCTGAGTACAGAGAGTGTCCAAAGATACTCGATTTTCATTGTATATGCTCTTCCCACTGACGTCAGATTGAGTCCTTTCTGCACTAAAATAAATGAGAGTAGCATAACTTTAAGGTCTCCAGAGCCACTTCTAATACAACCATAGAGTCTTGTTGGCCAGTCCTCATGAGTTGCTGCCCAGTAGCAGACAAAATCACAAAGGGACTCTTGTCCAGTTTCTTTTTTTCTCTTTTTGGCATCCTCCAATACTGTCAGTTTTTCTGAAGCAGCTAAGTGGCATGAGGGAGTCTGAGGAAAAACAAAATAGGAAAATGTAGGATGATAAAACAATCTTTTCTAATGTGATCTATACCTTTTTATGGGCTGTATCACGAATGAACTCATACATATTAGGTTAAGTCTCCACAAGACTTTGTATCGCTGACCCCCAATCCAGTTATGTCGTCCTCGGTCTTGTGCACATGCCACACTCATCTTCTCTTCTGGTCTTTCTCTTATCATAACTTGCCACTTTGCCTAAATGGTTCTCCTTCCTCTGTCCCATGTGCCTCTCAAAATCACAAACAAATCCCTCAAGTCCTTCCTCTACCATGTACTCTTCCCCAGGCTCTCCAGCCTTCATCAGCCTTTCTGTCTAAAGGTCTGAGTTTATCACATTAGTACCTCCCAGTTTGGCCCTTAATTATTTTAGAATTGCTACATATGTGTTATTTTTTTTTTAAATCTCCTCCCAGCTAAATCTGAAAACAATTGTAAGACTGTTTTATACTTTATTGTAACTCCATAACAATTACCACAGTGTGAGCACTTAATAAAAACCCACCTTTGCCACATTGGTGAAAGTCCCCAACATGTCTGGCATTTAATAAATGTTTGTTAAATCTGAAAAAAGATGGAGGTGAGGGAAAAAAATACAGAAGCAATTTTTAAAACTTTTTAGAGCTATTTTAAAACCACTTAACAAATATTCTAGGCTCCAGGAATACAATCATGGCTGTGGCTTGGTCCCTACATCAGAACATACTCTGATCTGTTAGGGAAGATTTATAACTAATTACAATGTGGTGTGTTCTATAAGGAAGAGAGAGATGGTGAAACTACGAAGAATGACATCACACAGAAAATGTTTCAAGTAAATTTTGAAACATAAATAGGTGATTACCCAACAAACAAGAGAATAAAGGAAATTCATTCCAAGCAAAGGGCATAGAACACACCGAGATAGGAAAGTTTGAGTAGTTCTGTAAAAATGTCAGAGAGCTTTATGTTAGTAATGTGTTCTGTACCATGTGTTTAAAGCCAAACAGAGGCTCTGATATTACACAAATGTTAATGTCAGTCTCACCTTTTGACCTAATTGTGAAATTATTTTCAACATAATTTAATTGAAAATTAATAGTCTACTTTTCTTTCATGGGGGTGGGCAGCAGTGCAGGAAAGTTGACAGAAGCAGATGATCCTGCTATTTCTATTGCCTTCTGTATCTACTCATCAGGGAAAAGGCTTTTTTCTTTTTTTTTTTTTGAGATGCAGTCTTGCTCCGTCACCAGGCTGGAGTGCAGTGGCGAGATCTCGGCTCACTGCAAGCTCCGCCTCCCAGGTTCACACCATTCTCCCGCTTCAGCCTCCCGAGTAGCTGGGACTACAGGCACCCACCACCACGCCCGGCCAATTTTTTGTATTTTTAGTAGAAATGGAGTTTCACTGTGTTAGCCAGGATGGGCTCGATCTCCTGACCTTGTGATCCACCCGCCTCAGCCTCCCAAAGTGCTGGGATTACAGGCGTGAGCCACCATGCCTAGCGGAAAAGGCTTTTTTCTACTAAAGTTGCATTGTTTTTTTTTTTAATTATTTCTTTATTAAGAATAATTTTTTTCCAATAAAGTAAATTTAAGAAAATGGGAAATGTTGCAAATGATTTAGAAGAAAATCCAAATTACTAATAATGTTGCTTCATAGATAGCCACATTACCATTTGAGAATATATACTTCAGGTACCTGTATGTGTACACATGTACTCTTAATATATGGACATGTATATGAGCTGCATTATAAAAATGCTGGTTTTTCAATTAACATATGATAAACAGGATGTATTTTTATTTTCATTTGTAGTGGTAATAAATGTTCCTGATAGGAAATCTGAAAATCACATAAGTGCACAAAGAAAAGTAGAACATATTTTCATTACAGACTTTTTTGTAAGACATTCTGAAGAAGAGTAAAAACTACAAGACTGCACTTCATTTTCAAATATCCCACTACTATTCTTAAATCCCACTTTGTACTCCTAAGTAGTTAATCATTAAGGTCTCATTTCAGATTCTTGTTTGTTTATATATGTATATATATTCATAGCAGATATGATTAGTATTTTAGGGGGCACTTTGAACATTTGCACAATGATATTTGCAGAATTTAAAAATAGGTCTTCTGAATAAGTAGTATGGGCCAAATGAGGAAACCTAGAAATTAGCTTTGTGGAAGTGCTCATAGGCTGGACCTAATTGGGGAGCAGATGGAAGCCCAGCCAGGCGGGTAAAACACAGGTGCTTCAGGGGACTGAACACAATGACAAAAAGAAGTGGTTATCTGGGCAGGAAGAAAGCATCTAGTTAACAAGTGCTGCGATGTGCTGGAGCAGGCACCAGTGAGGTGTAAGTAGAAAGGTAGCTAGATAGTCACCATTAGCAGGCACCAGTGGTGGTGGTGAGACCTAGCTTCTAGATCGTATTGTGGTAGTTGTACATTATCAAAGCAGGAATGAAGAAACCAGTCAGGAATTCTGAAACTAGAACATGAGATTTGAAAAAGTGACTTTTAGATGACAAAAATAAGGGCAACCCAATTTCTTGAGTAGGATTATAAGGTTAAAGAGAAACTACCAAGCAAGGTTGACTTAATTTGGGGTAAGATAAAAAATGAATAAAGCAAGGATCTCTCTGTCTCTTAAAAAGTTTACCGTCTAGTGAAGGAGCAAACAACTGTAACAAATTACATAGTGAGTTAGAAGATAAGTGCTATGGATAGGGTGACAGGAAACGAGAGAATGGGAAGGTGGGCTTAGGTTTTAAACAGTAGTTGTGGTTGAGGGAAAATGAAGAAAGTGAGGGAATGAAACAAAAGGACATGCTTATTTGGGGGAAGAACATTCTAAGGAAAGGGAACAGCTAGTGTGAAGGCCCTAAGGTGAGAATATGAAATAATAACTGCTAAAAAGAGAGAAGAACAATCTATTTAGAGAGAAAGTAGTGATATCAGGAATGCATCATGTTTTGCCAAATATATTGCACATTTTTCAATTTGATGCTGTGCAAGTCCTTTTCAGAGTCCAAAAATCTCATCTTAGTATATTTAATCATTACTTAATTGAAGATAATTATTACAGTGTCAGACTGAATTGTGAAGTACTTGGAGAAAAAAGAACACGAAGAGAGCTGAAAAGACATTATTTGGATCAATCAAATCATCACTTTTAATCTGTTAACATTTCTTAAACTGTTTATTTTCTCCATTCTTTATTATGTCAGCTCTTGCATTTGAGACTTAACATAAAGTGAAGCTGAGTCTTGATTACTCTAAATGAACCCAGAAAGAGTCTTTATACGGATAATCTCAAATCTATAATCTCTTTTATAATTAAGTTACATCATTAAAAGTGAAAATTATATTGAATATCACTGAGTTTTGACAACCTTTATATAACTGACTGTGAAGTTTTTTGATTTAGTGGTAGCGTTGACAACTTTTTCACGGGCATACTAGTTGTAATTTCTCTTATGTTTGCTAATTTATGTCTTCCTTTGCTTATTTTATTCAGGTCTTGATATTTTTGCTTTTTAGTCTATATCTATATGGGGAGTGTAATGCCATACCTGTTTTTCCCAAAGGCTTTTAAAGAAGCAGTTTTTTCACCGGGCCCTAAAAGTAATGAAAATGAAATATGATAAAGACATAAAGAAAGAAAAAGATAAAGGAAAAGTTGAAAGTGGAAAAGAAGAGGATAAAAAGAGCAAGAAAGAAAATATAAAGGATGAGAAGACAAAAAAAGAAAAAGAGAAAAAAAAAGATGGTGAAAAGGAAGAACCCAAAAAGGTGAGTTAATCCAAAATTAAGTAAAAATTTAAAAATCATTATGTGCACATGATCACTACTGGCCTATGAATATATTTAAATATTATGCAATACCCACCTGAGATAACTATATTAGAGTTATTATAAATACCATGGTTGAGAATTCTTATTTCTGTGTTACAAATAGTCAGTGAAAATTTTTTGACTGTATGAACGTCATTTCTTGCTTGCTTGTAAGTGTTATTTCTTCTATTCAACTTGTGTTTTCATAGGAAGAAACTCCAGGAACTCCTAAAAAGAAGGAAACTAAGAAAAAATTCAAACTTGAGCCACATGATGATCAAGTTTTTCTGGATGGAAATGAGGTGAGAGTAAGCCTATAACTAGAAGTTCAGTTTTCTATAGGAGTTTTTAGAAACATGTTTGATGCCTTCACTAATAAAAGGAAAAATTTTGAGAAATCTTATCATGTACTTAAATATATAAAAGCTACTCTATTTTTAAAAGTCAATAATTTCTCTGATTTAGATTTTTAAAAGTCAGATTTTACTGTGAGTAACAGGAAACCTGAAATAAAAGCATCTTTTTTTTTTTTTTTTTTGAGACGGAGTCTCGCTCTGTCGCCCAGGCTGGAGTGCAGTGGCGCGATCTCGGCTCACTGCAAGCTCCGCCTCCCGGGTTCACACCATTCTCCTGCCTCAGCCTCCCAAGCAGCTGGGACTACAGGCACCCGCCACCACACCTGGCTAATTTTTTTTGTATTTTTAGTAGAGACGGGGTTTCACTATATTAGCCAGGATGGTCTTCATCTCCTGACCTGGTGATCCGCCCGCGTCGGCCTCCCAAAGTGCTGGGATTACAGGCGTGAGCCACCGCGCCTGGCCGAAACCTGAAAGAAAAGCATCTTAATACAAAATAGATGCATATTTCTTTCTCATCAATGAAATCTATAGGTAAGCTGTACAGATACGTCAGCTCCATGGTGGATCCCAGCTCTTCTCTTCTCCTCTGTCTGAGGCTGCTAGCTAAGGTTACCTCATGGTCCAAACTGCCAACCTTATATCTACATCGAAAAGAGGAAAGGAGGGTGAAGAATATGTCTCCTCTTTAAGGAGACCACTTTAAGTACACTGTCCAGAAAGCTGGCAATTTCATTTCTGCTTGAATTCCACTGACCAGAACATAGTCACATGGTCATGCATACGAGAAGTAAAATCTTGGAAATGCACTTTTTATACAGGGTGATTATTTGCCTAGCTAAAATGTAGGGTTTCCATTATTACCAAAGAAAAAAAGAGCAGAATAGGAGATACGTACAAGTCTCTATCTCTTACAGAATGTAAGTCAGACACATCACTTGAGGGGCTTAAAATTTTTAACATTACTTGATGCTTTGTGCTTATCATTTGTAATGGAAGATTTGTATGGTGGTAGCCTTCCATAAAGACTGCTTAATTCAGTCACTTCACCAGTACATAAACATGAGTTATATACTGGGCATTGAACTGTTACGAATTTTAGGATATCCCTTCCTGCTATACCTATACAAAAGTTACATCTATAAAGTCGTGGCTCCTAGGGCTGTGTGTTTGAAATTCTTACTTGCATGAGACTATCTAGAGTGGGATTGTGGGGGAGGATTATATATTTATAATAAACTGTCCTCAGGTGACTCTGATGTGAACCCCTGGTTAAGAATCATTGTAATAGAAAACTGTAGGTCTTTCTTGGCCGGGCGCGGTGGCTCGCGCCTGTAATCCCAGCACTCTGGGAGGCTGAGTCGGGCGGATCACGAGGTCAGGAGATTGAGACCATCCTGGCTCACACGGTGAAACCCCGTCTTTACTAAAAAATACAAAAAATTAGCCGGGTGTGGTGGCAGGCGCCTGTAGTACCAGCTACTCAGGAGGCTGAGGCAGGAGAATGGCGTGAACCCAGGAGGTGGTGCTTGCAGTGAGCTGAGATTGCGCCACTGCACTCCGGCCTGGGCGACAGTGCGAGACTCCGTCTCGGGGAAAAAAAGAAAGAAAACCTTTGGTCTTTCTTACTGTGAAGGCTCAAATGCCCTCAGTTAAACATTGAGCATCAGCTATGTGCTAAACATTTTTATAGGCGTTGGGAATAGCTTGATAAATAGGATAAAATCTCTTATGATCTAGCAAAGATACAGGCACTTAAACATGATAGTATAGTACAGTGTGGTAAGCATGAATGGTGTGAAAGCACAAATTAGGAATAGTTAATTTAGTCAGGAAGGATAAGAAGGGTCTAAAGGACACTTGAGCTTAGATGACTGGCAGATTGCCAGGTGTACCAGGAAGGAGTTTAGGTCTATTGGGGAAGGAAGCAGCCTGAGCAAAAGCATGCGTGCTTGCTATCCTGAAAAGCCTAGATTTTATTCTGTAGAAAGTAGCATGCACTCCAAAACTTTTAAAGTTGTGAAATACCTTTTTTTAAAAAACATGTTTTTTTTAGAATGGAAACTGGCAGAAGTAATGTCTGTGGATGTGATTCCCAAGGAAGTGGGCAGAGTAAAATAAGAGGTTAAAGTGGAACCTCTGGTGTTACAAATCGAAGAACCAAGTTGGAAAGACAATAAAGAGTTCTGGTCAATATAGAAATAAGAGGGAAGAGTACTGTTATTTATAGAAACTAAGAAATAAAACTGAGTTTTGTGGATGAATGATCAAACGAGTTCCGATCTGAATGAAGTAAATTTGTGTTGTATAAAATAATAGCCTGATAAAAGGAAGGAACCACTACGTCATAAGCTTTGAAGTAGTGGTTTCCAGCTTATGGGCCCTGCATGGAAGAGTGGGCAATGAAATTATTACAGTCATAGAAACTATGTTCACCAAGCATGATCTTTAATAATTGTTCTTTGTGTCTTATCAGGAGAGAAAAGGGTGGAGTTGAGAGATACTGGATCTGTGATAGGGCCTGGCTGGAATCTATCTTAACTGTGCTTTTATCCCAAACTGGTTCATCATTACATTAGGGACAAATTAAGGTTGACAGTTGCTGGTGTTTTGTTTGAATAAGTAATGATTTGCACACATTAACAATTTTTTCCCCCCAAGACAGAGTCTTGCTGTGTCGCCCAGGCTGGAGTGCAGTGGTGTGATCTCAGCTCACTGCAACCTCTGACTCCCGGGTTCAAGCAATTCTCCTGCCTCAGCCTCCCAAGTAGCTGGGATTACAAGCATCCACCACCACACTTTTTGTATTTTTAGTAGAGACAGGGTTTCACCATGTTGGCCAGGCTGGTCTCGAACTCCTGACCTCCAGTGATCCACCTGCCTTGGCCTCCATAGTGCTGGGATTATAGGCGTGAGCCACCAAGCCCGGCCAAACAAATTTTTAAATGTATGTAAGAACATACAAATTTACTTAAGTGCTTTATAGAATTTATAGTTTTTCTATAATCATTTTCTAGTGCCAGAAGAACCACTACTGCTGAAGGAAAGATCTTTGAAATGTATTACCTTAGAAATAGAAAGTACTTCTCATACGTTAAGAGGTTGATCACTGCTTTAGGGGACCTAAAATGTAGAATTAAGCATTACTTTCTAATGTGACATTAGAACTTTTAAGCACTGAGGTTTCTTGATTCTTCTAGGTGTATGTATGGATCTATGACCCAGTTCACTTTAAAACATTTGTCATGGGATTAATTCTTGGTAAGTAGTGAGATGTTAGTAGCTTTAAAGTGCAATCTAAAATTTAGAAAACAATATGCAGATACTATAAAAGAAAATGTTCCTAAATTTAACATAAAATAGTTGTCATTTTAAAAATACTTTACTTTAAAGTCAGAAGGTGAATAATAAAGGAAAATATTTGAAACACATTAAAACAAAGATCTTTACAAACTGATAGAAAAATGGTTAAGGTAGTTAACAGATAAATACAGTGACCAGTCATCATGAGTGATACTTAATCACACTCATATATGCAAATTAAAGCTGTAGTGATTAAGAGGCTTGCAAACCTTGACTTTAAAGGTCTTAGAAAAAAATCAGCACTCTCAGTTGATAGGTATGTCTATTGTTTTAGTTTTTGTGAAGGACAGTTTGTCAGTATCTCTGAAATTTTATATGTGTCTGCAATGACCCAGCAATTCTAGGAATTTATTCCATGGCTGTTCCCATACAGTTGCACGAAGTGTGTGCATTGACACATTATCTGTTTTTTTCCAAATCCTTTAGACTATACCTGAGTATAATCTAGCAAATATCTTTCAAATTTGAAATGCTTATACCATTTGACCTAATAAATTCCACTTTAAGGAATTTACCCTATGCCATAATCACAGTTGCACAAATGTACATGTGCAAGGGTATTATACCTAGAATAGATAAAGAAAGTTACAGAAGAGTAAGAATAATATAAGCTCATTGACTTATTTAGAAAAAAAGTCTCTGTAACTAGTTAATTATATATAGGTAGTCTCTGGGAATACAGGTAAGCTTAATAGTACGTAACCTCTGGGAAGTGGAATAAGAATTAGATGAAGACTTAATTTTCTCTATACTTTTTGATTTGTTTGTTTGTGACAGGGTCTCATTCCTGTCACCCAGGCTGGAATGCAATGGCACAGTCATGGCTCACTTCAGCCTGACTTGCTGGGGTCAAGTGATCCTCCCACATCAGTCTACTGAATAACTGGAACTATAGACACACTCCACCACACCCAGCTAATTTTTGTATTGTTTTTGTAGAGATGGAGTTTCAACATGTTGTCCAGGCTGGTCTCGAACTCCTGGGCACTTGCCTCGTTGTCTCAGAGTGCTGGGATTACAGTTGATTTGTTTTTTTAACGGTGTATATTCCAGGAGGTTTTGTGGGGAAAGAATGATTTAACAAATAGAAAAAAAAAATAGGTAGTAGTTAAAATAAGCTTGGTCAATATGATATCATAGGATCCCATTCAAAATAACTCTTTTAGGCTGGGCTCAGTGGCTCACACCTGTAATCCTAACACTTTAGGAGGCCAAGGCAGGGAGATGGCTTGAATCCAAGAGTTTGAAACCAGCCTGGGCAACATGGCGAAACCTCGTTTCTACAAAAAATTAGCCAGGCGTGGTGGTTCACACCTGTAGTCCCAACTACTTAGAAGGCTGAGGTGGGAGGATCACCTAAGCTTGGGAGATCGAGGCTGTGGTGAACCAAGATCGTGCCACTGCACTCCAGCCTGGGTGGCAGAGTAAGACCCTGTTTCAAAAAGCACAATAACTCTTTTATACTAGAGTACTAGTCACTTTGCTAAATATTTTGCATACAATATATCATTTCATCCTCAACAACCTTTGAAAAATAGGAACAGACACTTATTAAATATAAGGTAACTTAGTCTCAAAGAGTTAAGTAACTTGCCCAGGGTTACATAGTTTATTAGTGATGGAGCTAGAATTTTAATCCTGGTCTTACTCTAAAGACCTAATAACCAGGCTTCTGATTTCTTATACTTATTTCTTGTGTCCTCACTTTACTTGCAAAAAAACTGGAGATACTTGTAAACAGTTTCCCTAAGTACCAAAAAACATCTGTAGTGGAGGCCGGGCACGGTGGCTCAAGCCTGTAATCCCAGCACTTTGGGAGGCCGAGACGGGCGGATCACGAGGTCAGGAGATCGAGACCATCCTGGCTAATATGGTGAAACCCCGTCTCTACTAAAAATACAAAAAACTAGCCGGGCGAGGTGGTGGGCGCCTGTAGTCCCAGCTACTCGGGAGGCTGAGGCAGGAGAATGGCGTAAACCCGGGAGGCGGAGCTTGCAGTGAGCTGAGATCCGGCCACTGCACTCCAGCCTGGGCGACAAAGCGAGACTCCGTCTCAAAAAAAAAAAAAAACATCTGTAGTGGAATCACTTGGGGAATGTTTTTCAGTCTGTGGATGTCAGAGCTCCACCCCAGAAGAAGAATCTCCAGAGAGGGGTCTTGGGAATCATTTTTTGTTGGGTTTGTTGTTCTGTTGTTTCTTTTAGCTCCCTTACTCAGTAGGCAGATATCTTAATATTTTTTAAATAAGGTAAGATTTTTTTAAATAAGATATTTTTAAATATTTTAAAAATAAAATACTATTTTTTAAAAAATAATATTTTTTAAATAAGGTAGATATAGCTTGAAAATGGATAAATTAAGGAGGTAACAGTTTTGAATTTCTACATAGCACTTTTTTTCTAATTATATGTAATTTACACTAATAAAAACTCCTAACCTAGTTTAAGAACAGTATAAAATGTTAGGTTGAACAATATGAAATTCCTCATAATTTACCATTTTTTACCTATAAAAATGGCAATTTTGTATTTCAATGTGTTTATGTTTGTCAGTTTTTCCCCCAGGGATATGTTTCTGTTATTGCAGCCATACCATTTAAGTTTTTATTCTAAAAGTTTAACTTTGTCATTTCTTGTTCCAGTGATTGCAGTAATAGCAGCCACCCTCTTCCCCCTTTGGCCAGCAGAAATGAGAGTAGGTGTTTATTACCTCAGTGTGGGTGCAGGCTGTTTTGTAGCCAGTATTCTTCTCCTTGCTGTTGGTAAGTATTGTTATCATAAAATTGACCTCAAGAAGGTTGCTATTGAGCAGTTGGACTATAATTTGGAACTTCAGTGAAGCTTAAGAAAAATTAATGGAGGTAAATCAAGAAGTATATGGTCCTACATTCTGAGTCAAATCTCAAAACTCAGGCTTGATAAGATTTGTTCTGTCTGCAGAAAAAGGATTTAATACATCTTTAAAATTTTTTTTAATTATTAAGATTTTTTATTGACAAATCATAATTATACATTTATGGGGTACAATGTGATGTTTTGGTGTATGTGTACAATGTGGAATGTTTAATTCAAGCTAATTAACATAACTAGCATATCTATCACCTTTCTTGCCTATCATTTATTATGACACATTTGAAATTTACTTAGTTATTTTGAAATACACCATACATTATATCTTAATCTGCAAATAGATGTGCTTTAAAAATTATTTATGGCAAAGGCTTTTAATATTTTTGCAATGGTAGATCTTTTATTAGACATAATACTTTCAGTAAAACATTTTTTAATTTTGACTTAGAACAAACGAAATACCCAAATAATCTATGCATATATTTAATAAATTATTCTAAACAATTGATTTGCCATTTGGGGAAAAATCATTAATTCTCACCCAGGTACCAAAATATTAGATGCAATAAGGAGTTAATGTTTTAAAAATCAAATAGGAAAACCTAAGTAAATGAATTTTCCACAATTCTGGATGATTGGGGTCTTTCATAGTTGATTCATTTAGAGGCAGTGTCTTGCTCTGTCACCCAGACTGAAGTGCATTGGTGAGATCATAGCTCACCTTGAATTCCTGGGCTCAAGCAATCCTCCTGCCTCAGCCTCCCAAGTAGCTAGGACTACTGGTGCATGCCATCATCCCTGGCTTTTTGTGGGGGAGATAGGGTATCACTCTGCCCAGGCTGGTCTCAAACTCCTGACTTCAACTGATCCTCCAGCATTGGCCCCCCAAAGTGCTGGGATCATAAGATTATCACCACACCCAGCCATCTTTCATAGTTAAAAAGCAATATAGGGCCGGGCATGGTGGCTCACGCCTGTAATCCCAGCACTTTGGGAGGCCGAGGCGGGCGGATCACAAGGTCAGGAAATCGAGGCCATCCTGGCCAACATGGTGAAACCCCATCTCTACTAAAAATACAAAAATTAGCTGGGTTTGGTGGCATGAGCCTGTAATCCCAGTTACTTCGGAGGCTGAGGCAGGAGAATTGCTTGAACCTGGGAGGCGGAGATTGTAGTGAGCTGAGATACCACCACATCCGGCTAATTTTTTGTATTTTTAGTAGAGATGGGGTTTTACCATGTTGGCTAGGCTAGTCTCGAATTCCTGACCTCAGGTGATCTGCCTGTCTTGGCCTCCCAAAGTGTTGGGATTACAGGTGTGAGCCACTGTGCCCAACCTCCTTTCTCTGGCTTAGTAACCTCTAGCAGCAGAAAAATCCCCTCCTGCTTTTGCATGGAACACGGGCACATTTGTAGGCCAAGAAATAATATCTAAGCCTGTTTGAATTTAGTGTCAGTGTAATACCTGCATCAAGAAGGAAAAGTCATAAACTTTGATCTGACATTAGACATAATAAAATTGGTGCTTTTTGCCTTTCAAATTCCTGAAATTTAGAAACTCCTTGGAAATTTTTAGCAAAGGTTTAGCTCCACTGAATAGAACTACTCTACTTGCTTATTTTTAAATTAAACCAGTGTTCACAATAATTTATGGTTATTATATAGTTTTGCTGTTTAAAATTTGTTTCTTCAGTAGTCTCTTTAAATAAATTTTCATTGTAAATATGCTGTGGATTTAAATATTCATTATGAACCAAATAGTCTTCTGAATTATACCAGGAAACAAACCAACCTTTTATGTTGATTCTCTTAGAAAATGCAATTCCAAATATACTTTCAAATAATTAGATATTTCTTTTATATTATCTTTGAAGTCTTTATATATATTTTATTAATATATATTTATATCTATATTTATATATATGTTCATTTTTTGGAGACAGGGTCTTGCTCTGTTGCCCAGGGTAAAGTACCATGACAGAATCATAGCTCACTGTACCCTCAAACTCCTGGGCTCAAGCAGCCCTCCCACCTCAGCTTCCTGAGTAGCTGGGGCTATAGGAGCATGTTGCCATGCCTAGCTGATTTTTTTTTTTAAGAGTCAGGGTCTTGAAATATTGTGTATTGGTCACAATTATATTTGGCGTTTCTTTGAATATGCATTGTTAATAATGCCATTTAAAATAAGACCTTTGGCAGTTTTCTAAAATCTGTCACTTTTAGTGTAGGAATATTATTATAGTACATGTCACAACTTCCCCATAATTCTTCCCTTTTCACTCTTGGTACTGTAGTGCCACATAGCGAAAAACTGTAAAACATGAGCATTCTGCCATACCATTTGTATGTGATAAGAAATTAGGTTTTATTTGTGCCATTTCTGTATTGCTTTTTCTTTGGTTTGATATAAGATTTCATATTATGAACCATCTGCCTTACAATCCTGTAAAACCTATCATTGCGTCATAATTGGAGAAAAAAATGTACAGCCTCCTTAAATTCATTATCTCTGTTTATCAGTGGAATTTATTCTTAAATCATAATTTTAAGCATATTTACCTTTTCCGTTTATACCACGAAAGATTCTAATATGTACAGGAGTCTTTCAGAATACTTATATTCTTGTGAAAATAAAAATAGCTATTTTTAAAAGTCAAGACAGTTATAACAATTTTCTTCCATTTATACAAAGCAAAATATGGAAGACACATAGATTAGCTTATTTCAGGCTTTATATGAAAACAGCGACAGAATTGTCTGAAGAAAACAAAAACCAAAAATCCTGTCATAATTGATTAGTCTGTAACAGTCACATAATCATCATGACCTTTTAAAAAACAGGAAAAATCACTTAGCTCTACATAATTGGTAAATTCAGAGAAAACTAAATATTGGGGTTTGTAATAACTCAGTAAAAATTTTAAAATTCAAATTCCATTTTTCTACAGTTTTGTCAAACTACAGTGTTATAAAATAAAAGAATAAACCTTATGTGTTTAAGTGATCTTGCTTTCTTTAACATTGTATTTTTCTTAATACTGAGAGGATTGGTCTTTAAGCAAAAATTAAATAATTTACCTAATCAATAAAACAAAAAGGTCAGGTTCAGTGGCTCACAACTGTGATCCCAACTACTCGGGAGGCTAAGGTGAGAGGATCACTTAAAGCCAGGAGTTCAACACTGGCCTGGACAACGTATCAAGAACCTGTCTATGAAAGTAGATAGGTAGGTAGGTAGAGAGAGAGGGAGAAAAGACAGATGAGAGAGAGAAAGAGATTAGATAAATAGATGATAGGTACATATCTGTAATCCCAGCACTTTGGGAGTTTGAGTCCAGGAGTTCAAGACCAGACTGTGCAATATGGCAAGACCCCATCTCTACAAAAAAGACAAAAATTAGTGGAGCCATAGTGGCATGTACCTGCTACTTGGAGGCTGAGGTGGGAGGATTGCTTGAGCCCAGGAGGTGAGACTGCAGCGAGTCATGATTGCACCACTGCACTCCAGCCTGGGTGACAGAGCAAGACCTTGTCCTCAATAAATAAATAAGACAACAAAGATTAAAAGATGGAAACTTTTTAATACTGGGATTCCTTATCCAGGGCTAATTTATCCTTTAGGCATAGTAAACACATGCCTTGGGCCAAGATTACATATAGGGGTCCACAGAAATATTTTCATTTTTATTTCTTTTAAATCAGAAGTAGTAATGTATATACATGTATGTACTAGCAAACCTATATGGTATTTTATTCATGTTTATACAAATGTATAGAAAATAGTCATAAATGTGTAGAAAATATAATTTTAATATTTTTTTATGGAGTAAGTTCCTTACAAAGGCAAAAAGGCCTAGAGACTTGGAAAGTAGGATGTAGCCCTGCTTTTTCCTTCTTAAAGGCTTCCTTCCCAAACACCTTTTCATCTCTTTATTTTATTCTTTTCCTACACCATGATCTTACGAATACTTAAATTCCCAACTGATTGCTATGTGTATTGAAGCATAATATCACAAAGTGCATAAATCAGAAGTGTATATCCATGAAACAACACCCAGATGGAAAAAAGAAGTAATTTTTTTCGGAGTGACGTTATTGCATTGTGACCTCAAGTTCAGAGCAACATGCTGTGCCCCTAGAATACTGTGATAGGTGCTAAACTAGTCAGGAATTTTTTTGTTTTGTTTTCAAGCATGCAGTGGTGTAATTATAGCTTACTGTAGCTCACTGCAGCCTCAAGCCCCTGGGCGCAAGTAATCCTCCCAAGTAGCTGGGATTAGAGGTTTAGCCACCACGCTCAGCACTAATCAGGATTTAAATATTCATATTTAAGGTGTATGAAATGTGCAGGTAATAAAACTGTTTTCCCAGCTTTTTATTAACAAATACTCCCTTCTGAGGCTACGTTTGAATTACTCAATTAGAGAAATTTTTCTCCCCACAGCTCGATGCATTCTATTTCTCATCATTTGGCTCATAACTGGAGGAAGGCACCACTTTTGGTTCTTGCCAAATCTGACTGCTGATGTGGGTTTCATTGACTCCTTCCGGCCTCTGTACACACATGAATACAAAGGACCAAAAGCAGACTTAAAGAAAGATGAAAAGTCTGAAACCAAAAAGCAACAGAAGTCCGACAGTGAGGAAAAGTCAGACAGTGAGAAAAAGGAAGATGAGGAGGGGAAAGTAGGACCAGGAAATCATGGAACAGAAGGCTCAGGGGGAGAACGGCATTCAGACACGGACAGTGACAGGAGGGAAGATGATCGATCCCAACACAGTAGTGGAAATGGAAATGATTTTGAAATGATAACAAAAGAGGAACTGGAACAGCAAACAGATGGGGATTGTGAAGAGGAGGAGGAAGAGGAAAATGATGGAGAAACACCTAAATCTTCACATGAAAAATCATAATCTGACTAATTTTGGGACTGAATGAATAAGTACAAAAGGTTGGATTTTCTATGTTGGCTGATTACCATATTGAACACATGGCATTTGTAGCATTCTTTAAATCTGTTTACTGAAATATATTTGACATTCAAGCAGTTATATTCAGTCCTTCATTTTATAGAATATTGGCACTATTATTGGTACAGTTTAAAGCCATTAATATGTTTTATCCATTTGATAATTTTACAGTAAGTAAATCTCATTCATTTTGACAGTTATCAAAGATGTACTTTCCACAGTTAAATTTACATTAATGGCAATTTTTGATAGTTTGTTTTATGGCTTTTTACTGTTAGACTAATCAAAAATAACTTTAAAAGGAACAAAGAAACTCCAACATTTCACATTATGCATAGTTATGTAGCCATTTCACAGTTTCTTTAAGATGCATAAACTCATTGTTCTTGATAGTTCTTTTATTTTTCATTATAAAGTTACACCAGATTCAAGAATCTGAGTTAGCAGAATTCAAAACTATTTTGTGGAAACAAGCCAACTAGTAACAATGCAGCAACACTTCTGGTTTAGCTAAATTCTTTTTCCAATGTAGGAAATCCACACTGATTTGTACGTCTGACTCAGAGAAAGATGGTCGTCTCCAACAGAGAAAGTGAACAGCATTTGTTGGAAAGTGATGGCTCTCCCTCTTCCCTCCCCATTTCATTGTCGTAACGTAAAGTGTATTCTGTACATAATTTGCAAATAAAACATTTTATTTTAATTGTTACTTATTATTTAGATATTTCTCAACACTTAAATTCATAAAATTAAGACCATGTAAGGGTATGTTTTTAGAGAAATGGAAGTTTCAGTAACCCACAGAACATCTGTGATCTTTCTACAGCAGCTTTAGTTTTGTGCCAACATTCCATGTATTTTGAATATGAGCAAAAACTGATCTTTATTAAATAAGAGCAGACTTAAAGTAGCTTTGTACGCCTTAATGTTCATTTTGATTTATTTTAAATCTTTACATTCAGAAATGAGATACTGTATTATCAGACCAGGAGGCATTGCTGTGAAAGATAATTTCCTATTCTAAAATATCAAATTTAAAATAAAGATAATAAAACGTAAGAGAACTATTGGACTCTAGTTGCTTTAACTAGTTTTGCAGTTTGACTTTACGTCTTAAACATCTTAGTTACAAGTCTTTGAAAACTCTTGTTTACTTATGAGCATAATCATTCCTTGGAGTTATACTTTTATAAACTAATAATGAATATTAAATGATTTTTCTTCAGTCACAGTGAGAGCATTTTGCTTTGTGGTTGAAATAGGTAGTGTATGTCAGTCTTTGCTTTAGTCTGTTTCTCATCTAAGTGTTTGAATTAAAGATGTTAAATTTTTCTAATTGTGGAAAATACATTTTATGTATCATTGACACGTTTTATTAAACATGGCTTGATTGCTTCTTTATAGTAGTCCCTGTAAGTGGACAGAAATGTGGCTATTTGATGTTAATGCAACTATGTCAAGGCTGCAATCACTTTTAAGAGTTTTTTTTAGCAAATGTTCATTGATGAAGTGCCTGGGTATTTTCCCCTCCCATTTGCAGAGCTCTACTACATTTCCACAGTAAGCATTTATATATATAATGTTCGCTTCTGGGTTTCTTTATCACCAGTAACATTGATACCTATTTTGGGATATAAACATGGTGTTTTTCAGAAACAAAATTTATTTCATTAACCTTTTCTATTACTGTGATAATACCCAGGCACTCAATGTTTATCCTGAAATTTTTTATAATACATGTACTTTGTCTAGTCTTAAAGACATTTGGAGCATGGCCAGCAGGAAAGTCAGCTTCTTACTGATGTGTGTGGATTCTTACAGAATGTTAGTACAAATTTTTATAAATATTTGGTGATCCCTGGGGGGAAATATCATTCTTACTATGGTTAGAAAGTGAATTAGAAATTTCAGCTCAGTTTCTATTTTACTATTCAAGTTGTATACTTCAAACAAATGCAAAAATCAAAAGACTGCCTCTATTACAATCCTCAGTGGAATAGATGGCTATCTTTCTTGGCTAACATTAAATATTCTTGTATCAGAGCATGGAAAATTGTTTATAATTGTTAATAGAATGGTGGGGTTTTTTTTGTTTTTTTTTTTTAAGAACTTCAGATTCGCTATGCTGCTGTAAGTAGAAGCATGAAGCTTTTTGATCATGTAGGGCTTATTGTAGAGGGTATCAATTGGCCTAACTAAGCAGGATTGGATTTACCAGAGGCTAAGTTCAGATAGTAAGAATAATGCATATGTGATTGTTCTTAAAGTCAATGTATTAAATAAGGTATTTTTCCTTTTCCCTCTTACTGGATTTTTAAATTTTCAAACCATATGGCCTAGATAACTTTAATTGAAATAATATAGATTTAGTTGAATACTACATTTTAATATATCACATGGAAATTATGCAGTGGTGATGAATTTTGGTGTTTCCCCCCTCTTTCTGGTTTTACATCATGAGGCTCAATTAGCTGCTGACAAGAAAAATCATCTTGTGTCTTTTGTAAATTGAATTTTTTTTTTTAATCTTTATTAGGAACTGGAAAACAGCAAGTATGGTTGATTCTCATTATTCAAGGTAGTTATGTTCTATAAAGTCACTGCGAACACTGAATTAGCAAATACAGAACCTAGGGGAAATACAAGGCTAGATTTCTGCAAACCACTGGTCACATTTTCATCAAGCAGTCAACATGTAAATGTCTGTTTAAAGACACCTTATTTAATATAGTCGATTCATTAACCTTGAAGTCATGACCAACAACACTGTAACTCATGCCTGAATGAAGCTTATCTGACGCATAAGCTTCATAAGGCACACAACAGCCTTTTTGCCCTTAGGAACAGCTTTTTGCCCTTAGCACTAGGCTTGGGGGCCATTTTAAACAGTGAAATCAAAAAAAAAAAACCAGAAATGCAAAAACCATGGCATTAGAGTAAAAAGGACACATTTATAGTATGAAAGCTGGAACATGGCCTTGTTCAACCTCAGCTGAGGATATATGTACAGCAAGTTTTTTGCTGTACCACAAAATTTTAGGTTAGGCAAATTCACAAATACAGAATCCACGAATAACAAGGATCAACTCTACTTAACTATATTTTAAAGCTGTGACATTTATCTACCTGGTTTATGTAATAGAATTTATTGCTGAATCATGCTCCAGTATTTGAGTGATGTTTTAAATATCCTATGTCTGAAAATAATTCCTCCTAATTGTGTAGTAATTTGCTTTTACTGTTTCAGCAGTATTTCAGGTCTTTGTTCATTCACTCAGTAATACTGAGCACTTACCATGTACCAGAATTTTACTAGGCACAACCATGAATAAAAATACAATTCTACCCTCTTGCACCATTAAATAGTGTGTTAAGTGCTATGGCAGCAAATTGCTACGTATGCTGGATATCTCTTGTTTTCCCCTCCCGCTCCACTCTGCTCTTGCCCCCAAAGCTGACCCGAATGGACCACAGCAGTGGGCTCCTATGCCTCCTGGCTTCTGAGTGGGTTTGGCCAAGGAGTGTCCTGGCCAGAGATCAGAGGATGGTAGGGTGCCTATTCTCAGCTCTTCTCCTGGGGTTGGGGGGCTGCCTTAGAAGCCAAAGGTCACTTCTCCCAAACCCTTTCCCTGCTTTCCAGGTTGCCAGTCCCTGCACTCTTCCTTTCTGGCCAAGGATGATGTCTGTTCTGCTGCTACTAGCCTGGAGTTGCAGAAACTACTGTGCTTCCTCTATGGGTAGCCTATACCTATACTTTTGTAGTGTCTCCTCATAATAATGTAAAGAACCATCTGTTTCTTACTGGAATCAAGACCAATACCAAGGAGAAATACCTAGGGAACAAAAATTCCAATGAGGAATTCACCTCTTTGTCAGATCCTTATCACCAAACATTAGAAAAGATCTCATAACTTTATACAGCGTGTTGTAAGAGTATTGATAACTAAAATCCTGTTCTAGTGGATGTCATGCAGATAACTACACAAGGAGATGAATTTAAATTTGCCTTCTTTGGCAAGCCCTTAAACCAATGGCTAAAGCAGTTAGTTGTGTTTCTGAGTAGGTCCCAATGCATTTATTTCATTTGTCCAATTGAGCAGACAGACCCTTTGAGACTTTAATTTCGTGGCTTTTCCAATCAGACAATATTTCAGTCTGAGAGAGAACATATTTTCTGAGGTTTATAGTTTTAGGATTGTCCAAAAGGCCTATGATCTCTTCTTAACATGACAGAAAGAGGGAAAGATAAGTTAAATTTCAAGGGAGTCAGATCATCATACTTACTTCATTTTCAGTGATTTCCCAGATGACTTTAATTTTTTATGTCATGACTCCTCAGAATAATGGGTTTTTTTGTTTTTGTTGTTATTGTCTTTTTGGTTTTTTTTTTTTTTCTTTTGAGATGGAGTCTCACTCACTGTGTCGCCCAGGCTAGAGTGCAGCGGCAAAATCTCGGCTCACTGCAACTTCCGCCTCCTGACGTTTAAGTGATCCTCCTGCCTCAGCCTCCCAAGTAGCTGGGATTATAGGCACATGCCACCACACCCTGCTAATTTTTGTATTTTTAGTAGAGACAGGGTTTCGCCATGTTGGCCAGGCTGGTCTTGAACTCCTGACATTAGGTGATCCACCTGCCTCGGCCTCCCAAAGTTCTGGGATTACAGGCATGAGCCACCATGCCCAGCCAGAATAATGTTTTTAATTGCAGAAAAGGAAATGCATGGGGTTACAAAGGAAACCAATTACACTGAAGTGTAAGCTACCAAAATAAGTTAATTTGTTATGTGGTAGTTATAGGTGTACGGTTAATAGCCAGATCTACGAGTGGATGTAATAACTGCTATGATGTTGAAGTAGCATAAAACATAGATCTCTGCACCAACTGTGATGTAACATGGAAATACCTGATTCCTGTTGACAAAGTCAGTTACTGCTAGTACAACTGTGGATTGCTGTCTGCACTTGTCATTGAAGGAAATACTAAATTTTAGTTTTAGGCTAGTGAAATTAAAGCTAATTTTTCCCATCCAAGTTCATGTATCTTCTGAATTATATCCGTGAATCCCTTAGAGGTCTGTGGATTGTAGGTTAAGAACCCCTGCCCTAGCTAATCAGATCCACCAATGATGTTTCAAATAGGACTATAACATATTCAAAGGCCAATGATACTTAGCATAATTCAATTTTAATATTATTCACATTTCATGTCACAAATTTAGTAACTTACATGTGTTATGTGATGTTTTGTTTGGATAGATTATGTCTTACTCCTAAATAAAAAGTCAAGATTTTTGTAGCAACTTCTATTTATTTTATGTATTATTTTGAGATGGGGGTCTCCTCACTCTGTCACTCAGGCTGGAGTACAGTGGTATGATCACGGCTCACTGCAGCCTTGACCTCCCGGGCTCAAGCGATCCTCCCACCTCAGCCTCCCAAGCAGCTGGGACTACAATTGCACACTACCATATCCAGTTAATTTTTATAATTTTCATAAAGATGGGGTCTCCCTATGTTGCCCATGTTGGCTTTGAACTCCTGGGCTCAAGTGATCCTCTTGCCTTGGCCTCCCAAAGTTGTGGATTATAGATGTGAACCGCCACGTCCATCCTGAAGCATCTTTTAAATGGGAGAAGCAAAATAGGGTTGTAACAACACAAATATTATCTTTCAGTCATTCAACAAACATTTGTGGAGTGATTACTATGTGCTAAGCATTGTGCAATCACAAAACTCAAAAAGCTAGTTTAGTAAGAGAGACAAGTATTCATGCAAATGGTGGCAATGGTGTTGTGTAATGTCAAGAGTATCTGTGACATGCTTATGAGATCACATATGTGAATACCCAGCCCAGATTAGGAAGGTCAGGAAAGGCATCCCATAGAAGTATCATGAGCTAGATCTTGAAGAATGAGTGGGTATTAGCCAAGTGAAGAATAGGGGAATTCTGCGCCAGTGCAGCAAGATGTGCAAAATAAGACAACAGAGTGAGCATGGCATCCCCTGAAACTGAAACTAGTTAAGGTACAGCTGGGAAAGAGAAGAGTCTAGAGAGGGATACAGGTGGCAAGTCATTGACCAGAATCCCTTCCTTTAAGAAATACTCCTTTCCCTTCTGTGGTGCTCCTCATTCCATTCCACGGTGACAGGCCTCAAGGATGAGCACCCAGTTCACACCAGGCCAATTGAAGTCTTCTCATTTCCTCAGGGATCTTGAATTCTAAGGACCACGTGGACCTGAAGAAACCAATAGCTATATTCCCTTCACATGAGTGGAGCCTGTCTAGAAATAGAACCAACATGAAAAAAACAGAACCAAGGGGTGGAT